CGTATATTAATAATACTGTACATGTAACTCGTGTACAGTAGTACCGGTAATACAGAAATACCGTTATGGATGAATAATGCGAAAGATCCGACCACCTCCGACCAATCAGAGGGGTCGGAGGTTGATCGCAATAATTGAAATTAGGACTAGGAGTTATGGGTATATCTGATAATATCCCTATACAAGTACATACAATATTCTATATCCAGAACGCTTAGGAGCGAGCTTAGGCCAGGGCCGGGAGCGTAGCGAACCAGGCCCGTTCGCCCGCGAGTCGACTCAATATAACAGGAATGATCTATCGAAAGGTTGGGAGCACCGGAGGCCGGGAGCGAAGCGAACCAGGCCGAGGAGCCCCCCTACTGTCCTAGTTATAACCCTAAATAGGATAATTCGGACACAGGTTATCTATATATGACCACTTCATGGTCGGACCTTTGATGTTATGGAGTGGGTATTGCAATCATGGCACTGAGTTCGTCGGCGACGTTAACCGCCAACGGGCGCTTCAACACATCTCGTTGCAAACAGTTGGCCACCAACGCTTGAAACCCCGTGGGAACCAAATCGTGTTTGAATCGATCTCCATGTGGAGTGACCACTGGCGACTTCTCCAAGTTCTGAACGATCCGGACGTCGGTGGCGACGTGTCCGTGTGTGGCTACCCACTGGCAGTAGGGCAGACATCGGGTAGCAATCTCCCCCAGCACCACGCCCAACGTGTACACGTCGGACGAGGACGACCTCGCGCAGTTGTGGGCCACCACTTCCGGGGCATCGTACGCGACCGTGTGATGGCCGTATGTGTAGCCTGCCGGCCAACCCGCTGCCGCCCCTCCTCCTTGATCCATCTCGTCCAACACGTTCAGTCTGGCATGTCCCGCGCTACAATAACGTTAACGTTATTTCGATTTTGGCAACTTTTCTGGGGAAAACGGCTTGTTATGCCATTTTTTGTGGCATCCAGACCAGCCCTAGTACAGTAACGTTATACTTAGAGTTACAGTAGTATACCGGTATGGTATGTATGACGGAACTCCCGGAAATTGTGGTTGGTAATTAGTGCGGACCAATTTCGTGCAATATTGGGTGTTTGGGGTGTTCTATTACCGTAAAACTGTAGTATGCAGCACATTTCATAATTCAAGTCCTGAGCTACGAGCAAGCTCCATTCCACGAGAAGAATCTCTTTCAAGTGCACCATAAATTGGCCATCTACATTACGCACAACTGACTAACAAAGTCCTCGTCCACGTTTGAATTGACTGTGACACGAGACATCGGCAGCAACGTGAGTGTCATTTACTAATCGGAGTACAGAACAGATTAAGGTACTCAGAGAAACGATTAATAGTACAGTACTTGGATTAATATCAGGCCCACTCATCATCTTGTACTGTACTATACAGTGTAATGTACCCTGCAACGTTGGGCCGTGTGCCTCGTACGTAGATGAAAGAAGCAGTCGCAGGAGTCCTTGTACATACATAGCACATCATTGTTGTTGAGAAGGAAAGGCACGGACATGATAAGAGCTGAATGGCTGAATTCATTTGTACTACTGTACCAGTGTGTAAAGTAGATTACGGTACATGTACGGAGGTGTGGACAGGCGAACGACAATTGTCCGTATGTGAGGCGCGAAAAAAAAAACGAAAAAAAACAGTTTTTGCTACCTTCCAATATGGGAACCAACCACTCAAAAAAGAATACCATGGCCAAACGTGCAAGGGACACTCGAAGTACGTAAACAAAGCACTCACCCATACAGTCCGAAAACGCACTAGCGGATGTACTCCCAGCTTTGTCGCAAGCTACTAGGACGCCAGTGTTATTGAACGTCAATAGAAAACCCCGTTCTTGCGACTTCCATGCAAAGAACTAGGGACAAGTGGCTGGGTAGGTGGAGATGGCTGTCCATGTTAGCCTTGGTGGTCGCGACTGGCGCTCCCGTCGCGGACGCCGCCTGCGAGCCCATAGTCACTCAGGGCAATGCATGGTGCATGAACTGTGGCGCCACGTGCTTCCCTCTGCTGGACAGGATGCACCTTCACATTAACGGCCAAAGTCCCCACGCCAATCCTCGTGATCAGGACGTCCGCACTGAGATCGCGACCAACATCTCAACCACAGGAGCACTCATGGACGGCCCGTCGGCGGCACCCAAGAGCTTGTACGTGCGGCGTCATATCAAAGAGGCAGCGTCGACTAACATATAAGCCATCTTGTGTAGGTACATTTCCGCCACACACAGCCAAGCGTTTTCGTTCGCGTTTGACACACTCAAGAACTTGAAGCAACTGCATACCATGTACGAATGAATCCTTCTTCACAAACAATGGAGGCTGTCATGGTTAATAATGAAGTACACTAGTGCTTTGAACCGAGTATCTGTCTCGAGCTGCCGACCTCAAGACTTTGTCCATGGCAACCAAATAGCCCACATGTACGATCTGTTATCACCCCCACGACCACCTTGTTTGACAGATGCTGTTTGCAGTGTTGTAGCCAACTGCAAACCGCCCACGGCTATGACGATGGACTTGACCGAGCTATTCGAGTTGACACACATGTACATCATGCATCAGTCTGTACTACGAGTACTACACAGTCCAGCAGCTCACTGTCGATGTATGTGGGTAGTGACGTTCACAACTGCACGCTCAACGAGTTCCCATCCTGGAGCACGCCGTCGGCTGTCCAGTCCATGTAATCATACTCGTCCCCGTGTGTCAAGTAGTAGAATACCCATATGTGTTATCGTGTGGTAGCAAACTGGTCAACATCGGGCTCACTACATTTCCTTCGATCCCGCCCCAACTCGCGCCCAATACTTTCATGTACGTACAATCTGACCAATACCCCCCCCTGGCTTTGATCTTTACTCTTATCCTCATGGTATGTTGGTGTTTTATCAGTGACTTGACGCAAAACCCGTTCGCATTGCTCACGTCGTCACACTGCGACACGATTCGCTCGCGCAACATCTCAGTCGATGCCGCCGTGACCGCACAATGTCTTTTTTCGTCGAGTGTTTTGGGGCTGTCTCCGACTTCCCCCCCTTCTCCCCCCGAGGAGGCCCATACCAACCCGTGGAACTCTGTGTTTACATTCATCATGATCCTCGTCGTGTCGGCGCTCATGGGGGCTTTCGTGATGCACCGCCGGCGCCTTCTCACTCCGACGTCGCGCACTCCCGGCGGCACGGACGACTACCTCACGAGCACCACGCCCATCATGGAAACTGGCAGCCTTCCTTTATCCACCGACCAGCTGATGATGCTGTCCAAAGCCAAGGACGACATATCCGAGCCTATCTTGACGCCGTTCCCCCCACGAGCCGGCCGCTCGTACAAACTCCTTCCCCCAAAAGACGTCAAGCTCGCCGCCCGCCCCCCCAAAGCCCCCATCGGACAGCTCTCGGCGCACTACCACAACACACATGTGACACTGTACCGGTTGGACTACCGGGACTACGACCAACCCCGCATCGATTCGTTTCTCCACACGGTCGAAGTCCTCGCGACGCTCAAACATCCCAACATCACGCGGCTCGTGGGGGCCACCAAGCTGAGCGGCGTCTCCATCTGCGCCGTCTTTGACCACAGTCCAACCACTGACCTCGGACTGCCGTCGTTCCTGTTTCAAACGGCCGACTCGTCGATTCTTCTTCCCCTACATCCCAAAACCCATGCTGCGCTACACCGCCGCATGCGCACGCTGGCAGTGGGCGTGGCCGACGCCATCGCGTTCATTCACGCCACGACCAACGGCCCCATGACTCGACGGCTCACTAGCGCGACCGTGTCAGTGCGGCCGTCCGACGGATCCGTCCGGGTCAACCCCATGTCGTGGATTGATGACGATACTACCACCGATGACAAAACCAACAGCAACCATCCCATGGTGTCCTTTGGCAGCTTTGTCTTGGCCAGCGTCGCCCCGGAATGTCTCACAGACTCTTCGTCGTCTACGCAGTCGTCGGATGTGTTTGCACTCGGGATCGTGTTGGGGGAGATTGCCACCTGCGGCCGCCCCTTTGCATCTTGGTACAAGGACATGGGCGCTGTTGCCGCCGATGCCCGCATCCACGCCGTCTACACGGACGCATCGAATGATCCCATCAAGCCCTTCCCCACGGTTCCTCCAGGTCCCATCGCCGACCTGATCGCAGCATGTCTCGATCGAGATCCGTCCAAGCGACCCACCGCCGCCGTAGTCGTCGCGTCGCTGCATCTTGCATGTCCAGTGGAAACAAACGATGAAGATGAAGAGTCGTCGGGGACGGTGGCAGTGGAAGAGTAATATTATATATATATCGAGAGGTATCATGTCCTAGTGTCGTTTGTGGTCGTCATTGATGATGGTCATGCTGAGGTTGTTGGTTTGGCTGTCGAGATAGAGCGACGCCAGCTGGTCGTCGGACGTGGCTTGCACGACCGCCTTGTCCCGCCGCACGGCCAGAAACCGGGGAAATCGCAGCCCCAACCCACACGACTTGTGTGCGTCGGTTCTACTAGTAATACTACAGCTAGTATTACTAGTAGTAGAAGGAGGGGGAGGAGATGGGGCGTTGAGATAGGTGCTGCCGGCAGTGTACTTGACCGACTTAGTGAGTTGCGCCGCGCGAATCTCCCACACTTCTGTCGGCTCAAACCACACGTCAGGCTGGATCGACTTGACCTCGCTCGCGTCGTACTCTAAAGCTACGCACATATCAACATATTATTGTGAATTCGCTATAAATTTCCAACATTCGCGTGGTTTGTCTAATCAAAATATTGAATCACACGCTGGAGTTCTAATTGGTTGACCTTTCGGTAAGAGCCAATCAAATTCACTCAAGTTTGGATCAGCCAATAGCGTCGATTCGTGATTCGATTCGACAGAGTCTGGAAATGTATACCGAATCCAATATATAACCAATAATGTACCCCCTTTTAATACATATACTACGTACGCTTGACAGCGACCACAGTATCCTCGAGTCGCTTGGAAATCGCGGCCAGGTCGACGTCAGTGAACCCTGACCCGACCTTGCCCACCGTCTAGAACGTGCTTAGAATAGTGGAAATACATATAAAAAATATATAAATAACATAAATAATCAACAAAACATGGAATACTATGTATATACTTGTATTTATAAAATGTAGACGACAACAACAAATAAAAAATGATGCAGCAAGTCCAAGAGAGAGATATAAAACACAAAACATGTACATGAAACAGTTGGGTAGTGGGGTCGTAGCAAGCCAAGAGAAACGACCCAAACACATGTGCGCGACGTCCTTTGCCCCGGAACGCGGCGATGGGCACCAAATCGAGCGAGTCGGGAAGGAACATGCCGCTCGCCATGCACGGTGTCGCCGGAAGGTAGTCCCGCTTGACTTTGAGCCACGTGTGGGTTCGACACCCGGGCTTGTACGGCTCGTCCAGTGCCTTGACCATAAGACCTTCGCAGTCGGCGTCCACGGCAGCTTGGAGCACGTTCTGCAGCAACTTTGCAGGGGAGTTGGATAATAGATCTTCATTTTCGTCTGTATCCGGATCTTCGTGTAGCGAAAAGCTCACATCTTGGCTTTGGACAAACTGGAACCGTTGGGGCAGTTGCTGACGGGGGGAACGTGGTGGTTGTCCGGGTAGAGTTGATGTTGTGGATGTTGATGGCGGCGTAAACGCGGCATGCAGCGCCGCCCGGCGGTCTTGAAATGGACGGTGGACAAGCGACGTCCCGTTCAAGTACAAGCAATCAAATGCAAACAGACACATGGCCGTGTGGCCGTTGGTTTGCAGGGTTTGAAACGGCAGCAGCTGCTGGGTTTGGTCGTCGGCTACCGCCACCATCTCCCCTTCCACGATGATCGACTCGACGTGGGCATTCATATATGGCACCACGTGTGTTGAAATCGTGTCAAAGTACTTGTGGTCAGCTGGAATGCGCTCGCAGTTTCGGCTAAACACGGCCAAGTCTGGCCCTTCGTTGGTTGGCGTCATATGTGATACAGTACGCTTGGACACGTGGATTTGAAGGCGTGCGCCGTCGTACTTGTATTCGCAGGCGGCAACTCCGCCAGCGTATTTGCGCATCCGCTGAGTGATCTAAAAGTAGTTAGAACCTCCGAAAGAATAATAAACTAACAAGCATGGGGTGATGGTGTCCAAGAAAATATTGTGAATTCGCTATAAACTCCCAAAATTCGCGGGGGTTGTCTAGTAGACTAGGCGAAAAACCATAGTGTTGTCGATTTGAATATATGTTTTTTCTAGATGGACAATCACCATCTCAAAATATATATCTTTTTTGCTTGCACTAGGGTACTTTCGTTGTGTATAGATTTGACGTGGACTATTATATTCTATAAGTTCGAATTGAAGATGAAAAACGTCGGATCAGTTAAATATCGCATGCGTTTGCGTAGAAAAAGATATTTGTTCTCGATATTATATATATATTGATTTCTTTGGAAACCCACAATTGCTTTAAATAGTATGATTATCCAATTTTATGTTTTGAAGATGGAAAGTACATTATATATATATTATATATACATATATATATACTGTATGCTCAAATAAATATCGCATACGTTCGCGTGAAAAATAATAGAAATTTGTTTTCAATATTACGGATTCGGTACGAATTTGCAGACCCCGTCGAATCGAATGATCTCGCCGCCGAATAATCGAATCACGAATCGACGCTATTGGCTAATCCAATTTTGAGTGGATTTGATTGGCTCTTAAAGAAACGACAAGTATATCAACCAATCATAACTCCAGCGTGATTCAACATTGATTAGTCCAATTATACGCAATCTTCGACAACGTACTTGGTGCAAAGTGGACACGGGGTACCCCAGCATTGTTTGCACGGGCGTGCCGGGCTTGGGAGCGGCGTTGGCTCGGATGTAGCCGGCTTTGGCGTCCAGCGACGGCAGCGCGAGCACGTGCCCCAGCGTCTCGACCAGGTCCTCGAAGATCGGGCGCTGCGAGTACGCGGCCGCCACAGACGCCACCCACGGCTGCAGCGATGGCTTGTCGGCGTCGGCATCTGCGAACGAATGCGCCAGCGCCATCACGACGCTCTTGGACCCGACGCCAATGCGGAGGTTTTGATGCTACATATATTGTGCTTTCGAGTGAAATTTCATTGTGTTGTGGTTTCTCGTTGGAATTTAAATCGATTTGATTGGCTACCTCAGATGAGCTCAAAATTATTAGCCAATCAAAAAATTCTCCATGAAATTCAACAACCAATCAGATCGATTGTGGATCGGTTTGGTCGGCGCGATTCGATTGCACCACCAAATTTGTATCAAATCGACAATAGGACAACATGTTATATATATATATACATCGGTCCAGTCGTATTACAGAAGCATATATTATTGCCAAGGCGATTCGAAATTGGAGTGGGGTGCTCTCAATCGAAGAAGCAGACGACCCAAATCGACAGGCAATCATCGATCGACCAATCAAAACACACAACACGAATCAAGTAGCCAATCAAATTCTCGCTTCAACCTTTCCACATCGAATCATGGATGACTGAAATTACGACACTTCTACACACAAAACTCAGTATACAGGGAATCGATCGATCCTTGGATATTTGGTACATTAGCCCAAAATAATTCCAAATATTGGCTGAAAGAACCATACAAATGCCCATTTATCCATGGGATGTAAACGGTGGGTTGAAAGAAGAATTAAAACTAAAATCTATTCGTAGAAACATTTACGTTGTTAAAATACCTGATGTGTATATAAAACAACTTAAAAAGTGAATATTTGCCAATCAAACACTTTCCAACCGAAACGACGCCAAAGATATTTGGTCAACATGCTGGACATTTGATTCTTGTGACGAATCTCAAGGTGGCAATATGGTCATGTTATTGACGTACGGCGAGCAGTCGAGTGAGGAAGAGGGCTTCGTCGACGGTGCTACCAGTTCGCAATAACATCATAACCCAAATAGATAGATATCTAATGCAAGTTGGATAGATCCTACGACGCTCGAGCCAAGAGGGCGGCGGCAATGTCCTACAAGGAATCGACTTTATGATCGTTTTAGATCAAGTACGTGTATGCACCTGCTTGCGCTGGGTCGAGCCAGTGCCCGCTTGAGTGGCCATTTCGCGTAGCTGGCTACCAAAACACATGAGAACTGTATCCCATATGGCAAGGGTCATCGCACTCGTAAACAACGTCAATGGTCATGGAGGCAGACGAATCGTCATCGAATGCACGTGGCAGAGTCAGGATGGCTTGCTTGAGCAAGTCTTCCACCGCCGTGCCATAGTCCCCTAGAAATGTGTCCAATTAGAATGGTCTCGTGATCGACATGTACCTGACTTCTTGTACGCGTCAAAGATTGTGGGGATGTCTACGTGGCCGGCATCTACCACCATATACGTTGGTGCTTGGAATATCCCATACTCGTGACTGTACTGGCAAAGGCAGTCTGGACGACAGGGGCAAACGCCTTGTCACGGAACCGAAGCTCGACGCCTTCATGCGTTGGCGCCAGCTACAGATCGGAACATGAGAGCGATGAAGACGCGGGATGCTGGACACGAGACCTGCGACGTCATGAGGTACATGGCCTTGGGCAGCTGGGTGGGCTGGTTGTCGCGAATGGTTCGGAACGCATTCGACAGCTCCGAGATGGACGCATCGCGGGAGTTCTTGAGCTACGCCAAAGCGTGCAACCTGGTCATGATCATTGGATGTCCTCGCTCATGGACCTACTTGGATGCGACGAAATGTCGCCGCCAAATCGCGGAACAGCATGGTGATCCCAAGCAAGGTCAAAATGCGCCGACGAGTTGGCTATTGGCCATAGTTCATACCATTTTCAGCGAATCATATCCGCTAATGAAGTTACCGTTACTAACGTTAATTAATACTACGTAGTATTAATACTATAATAGTACTCCGGAGTACTACCGTTGTACTATAATATTACTAGTAATACGGAGTACTACGTAGTAGTATTTTCGATTTTCTTCAAATTTCCCAATTTTCAGCAATAGAGCCGAGACATCTGATTGGTCAATTATACACTTCGCCCTTTCCGGTAGAATATCGAAAATACATTGTAGCCAATCAGCGACAAATAATTTGGGATTGACCAATGGGAGAGATTGGTGCCAGCGAGATTCGATGGAACGGGGTTTTGAAAAATCTCCAACACTTCAAGTATTAACAGCCGTAATAAGTTCAAATTTGGACGTCAAACTGTGTTGTTTCACGGACAACGACGGGCACTGCATAACGTTGTATTATGGCAGCTTAATGCCATGAATGCTGTCGAGATGTTAAAGCAGAAGGTATGGAGCTTCAGAGGGCCACCTCGTCGCCCAACACCAAGCTTAATTGCTGGGCGGTGGCCCCGAGCTTGGTCATTTCGAGTTTCACGCGCATCCGGTTGGCTTTCAAGTTGAACTCGGCTTCTTTGGTCTGCGCCAGCATGAGTCGTTGCTTGAGTTCGAACTCGCGCTCGGAGCGTTCTTCCCGATGGCGCTCGATGGCGAGTCGTTGGGATTCCAGGTCGTAGCGCAGCTCGATGTCCAAACGCCGAAGTTCCAACGTTTCGCGCTCGGCGTTGGTGATATCCTCGTCGTACTGCTTGGGCGGGAGCAAGCTTGCGACGTTGACCCGAGGCAGCTCCAGCGACTCGATCGACGGCTGGTACGGCGATGGTCGCGCACGTTTCCGCGACACGGCCGGTGGAGTTGCTTGCACGTTGTTAGTGGTAGCTCCAACCTCCAGCTTGGCCTTCTCCTTCTTCTCAATGCCGGCTTGGGCGTCAACGTGGTCGTTCCAGACAACTGGATGGCGATTCTTGATGTGCAGCGTGCCGTTGGACGGGTTCTGCTTGACGAGGTTGATCAAGCAGTCTTGCCACGGCACGTTCTCCTCAATACACTTGATGCACACGTAGAAGCACATCTTTTGTCGCTTGTTCAGTTGCGGCGTCTTTAGCTTGTAGATGACCGACCACACATACGACGGCTTGTCGACCTTGAAGTACTCCTGGCTGATGTGTTGGGAGTGCTGGGGCTGCGGGTGCTCTTGGCTGCTGGGATCCAAGTCGTCGTCGTCATCGTACTGCCCGGGCGCTTCGAATGGCACGTCGGCGGGGAATTGACTCATTTCAAAATTGCAAATTTGCGACTAGTAAGGGAAGGAGTGGTGTGTAGTAGCCCCCCTATCTACTACTTACTGGGACGGTGTACATAACATAATTTAAACAATACTAAAGTGAGGACAACACATAGCTATATGTTATTCTATTCAAAATAATATCCAGTGTCGGTCTAATAGTACGAGTATAATTGGTTCAATTTAATTATATGATTGCATGTGGTCGTCTGATTTCTTTTCACGCCTCTTCACTATATCCGGATAATTACCGAAACCGGATACAATCAGAACTCGTTGACGAATCTGCGAGGCCTTTCTAAATACTAAGTAGTATTCTGAGAAAAATATCCGGATATTTTGCAAACCATGGCACCATCCATGCTCACATGTCAACAGCTACTAGCGTTAACGTTAGTATGCACTTCCTAGTACTCGCCACCATCGCAATGACTTCTGCAGTGGCATTGGGTACAATAATGCGTACAACCCTGTTTCAGCTATGCTGCCGCAGTGGTTAAAGCCAGTCCCCAAGTCCTGTGCGCTTTAATCTGGGTGCATTAAAGGGGGCGACGCCACGGAATTTGGCAGCAAGTACTGTCTCAAGTGTGACGAGAAGGTAGCGTGGTTCTCCAACGACGGACAAGCGTAGCTAGCTAGCTGTATGACACCATGACTGGCTTGCAGAAGAAGCTCGTTCCGATGGTACGCCATCCGAACCGTTGCGTTCAACTCCCATCCTGCGTGCTACACTACCGAGAACCGCATCGGTGTGTGCGACTTGCCGTCTTAGGACTGGGTGTCCCTGCTTCCAGTGATCGGCTTCAAGACGCTCGTCAAGCTCAATGGTACTGTATCAAATTCGCTTGGTTTTTCTTCGTTTTCTCAAGCAACCCGACTGCAAAACACAAGATGATCGGTAAGTTCTAAACTGGAGCGCTATGGAGAATGAATCGACACAACGAAATGTTACAAAAGAATCGGCAGAAGAATTGAGCCAATCAGATTGCAGGAAACCATCATCGACGTTTAAATAGTGTGTGGTTTCAATTAGTGTGATACTAAGCACCACAGGACACCTTTTTACATACAAACTTCAATACAAAGAATCGATCGATAGATTTGGCGATTCTGCACAAAGTCCAAATATTGGGTAAAAGGACAATATGTGGTTGTAAAGAATTATTGCAGCAACAATCTACAAGGTTCAGAGGTCAAAAAGTTGCCTGAGCGCGGAGATTTGGATGTTCTCCCGAGCCGCCTTGCCTTACAGTTAACAGTAAGTTGAGACTTTTTACGTTAAACTGTACAGTACTATTAATAGTACAAGTATTAATACTATTAATATAAAACTACGTAGTATCACTTGAATGCCCCTTAAACTACTTGGAACTTCCCCTGACAGTACTAACGTTACTTGGAACATTCATACTGGTACAGGACATACGAAGTAGTCATCACTACAGTGGAAGTTTAACGTTATTTATTTATTTTTACGTATCAGGAAGTACAGTACTATTAATAGTACTCCGTAGTACTACTATTAATACTACTAATGTTAATATTAATACTACGTAGTAGTACTATTAATATTTTAATATTAACATTCTACTTCTTCGAAGTACTATTAGAATAGTACTTCGAAGAAGTAATTTGAAAGGATACGAGCATAGAAAACACTTTAAATGAATTCATGTAAAATGTACAGAATTTCATCTATTCCGAAACGCAATCATAAAATTATCCGGATGAATTTATACTGCTGATACTGCTGTTGTGTTGTTGTCGCATCAACCAACATAAGCTTAACATGAGTGCGTTGTGGTGCAGCTCCTTCACGAGGCTAGCGTCGGCATCGACGTCGGGATTAACGGAGTCACTCGGAGACGATGCTCTTACGCTACGCATGTACTTGCTCGATCACGTTGACTTGTTCCCAGCTGTTACGTCCATCCCAAGCGATTCCAACGCAGTAGTCGTGCTCTCACTTGCGAATCTGCGTCGACTCGGCCTAGTCTCTCATTCGTTGGTGACTGTTCGACACGGCGACTCGGCGCACGTGGCTCAAGTCCAACTGCAGCTGCATATGGCCGACGACATCATGTACATGAGCCCATTCCTGGCGCACAACCTCCAGTGCGTCGAAACCGCCGACGTCGTGGTCGAGCCTCATACGACGTATGCTCGGATGCAAGCCATGCCGCCCACGGCCTCTCGTGTTGAAATCGCGCCCATCCTTTCGAACGCATCGTCCTCCAGTGCTCGCGACGAGTCGCACGTCGTTCACGCACTGCATGCGTTCTTTGCCACCCCGCGACTAGTTCAACATGGCGATATCTTTGGCGTTCCTGTCGTCGGCACATATCCAGAAAAGCACTCAAACCCCCACCTCCTGGAGCCCTCGTGTTCTTCCACGGACGTCCTCGTCATCGTGCATGCGGACGTGGTGCTATTCCGCGTGCAAGCGATGACGTGGCACGACGACGGGCCGCCATGCTCCTCGACAACCTCCCCACTAGCGCTGACAGTGCTCAAGTCCAGCACGACCGTCGTCCAGACCCCAGCCACCGCCATACGGCTCTTGCACGAACGACAGCTTCGACAGTACTCGTTTTCCGCGATGGCCGCCGCGGCGCCACTGCCGGCAGTACCGCCATCCATTTACCCCCACCACATGCAGAAACTCATCGAGTGGCTCCACCCAACGACGGTGTCGCTGCCGATTTCGATCGCATTGAGTGGCGTGGCTGGCAGTGGCAAGAAGACGTTGCTGTACAACGCCGCCAATGCATTGGGGCTGTTCGTGCTGGAGGTGGCGTTCGCCGAACTCACGTCCACGTCCGAGCTGCAGTTGCTCGACAACATCCGTCTCGTGATGCAAAAAGCCAAGTCCATGGCGCCGTGTATCTTGTTCCTCAATCGATTCTTTGTCACTGAGGTACACGTTTAAGCTTGTATGGAGCAAGGCGGATGGATTGCTTTTATATATACAAACAATATAAAGGAGCAGGAGACGTGCCTTTCATTGATCGATATATATATATATATTGATAAGGAACGACGAGTGTGCAATATATATCATTTTTAAATGCCAGTTGCTTTTCATTTATATGTATAATATATTTTATGAGGATGGACGTGCCATTTATATGTATATATATATATATGTGAAGGACGATTGCCATTTATATATATAGAACGACGATTGTGATATATATATAAATATATAGAACGACGATTGTGATATATATATAATACAAATGAAGATGGATGTGTGTAGTGTGCGTTGCCTACATGTATATATATATATACATAGAACGACTATTATTATTGCACTATACATATATATCTATTTGTTTGACAAACAGATAACCCCATAGAAAGACAACGACGAAGCCGCCCTTCGTCTTAGCGCGGCCCTCACGGCGGCATGCTTGACGCAAGACAACATGCATCAAGTGCCGGTGGTGGTGGCAGTGGAAGACCTGTCGGACGTCCCTGCGCTTGTCCGGCAGGGGTTCATGTACGAACTCGTGCTGGAGGCGCCGTCGGAACTCGATCGGGTGGCCATTCTCAAGCACTTGACCGCGTCCGTGTCGTTGCATCCGGTAGCTGTTGATCCTCATCTTGTGATATTCAAACCTGTATGCAGGACGTACATATGGAGGACATTGCACACCGAACAGCAGGGCGGACAGTGGGGGAGCTCAAGGCGTTGGTGGGTGATATATATATTTCTTGTCGAGCTAGTTGTTGTCTTAGATAACGATGGAGATGATAGATTGCAGATGCGACGAGTTACTGCTTAGAAGCGCTGGCGACGGGGGACATTGGATTATTGGACGACCTGCAATTGCCCGACCTTGCACAGTTGCAACCGACGCATTTCGACCACGCGATTCAGCACCAGCAGACGAAAACGTCGCTGGGACTGGGCAGTTTTTCCATTCCGAACGTCAAGTGGGAAGACGTCGGAGGGCTGGATCATGTCAAAGATGAGATTCTAGACATGGTAACATATTTGATGCTGTATATATATATATATATGTATGTATAGATGCATATTATATATATATATATATATATATAGATGCATATTATATATATATATGTTGATGCATATGATATATATATATAGATGCATATTAAATATATATGTTAATGCATATTATATATATGTTGATGTATATGTTATATATATATTTATGCTCACGGGGATGTGCATGGGACGTGTAGGTGCAATTGCCGTTCAAACATCCGGAATTGTTTGCGGCGGGGGTGCGGCAGCGGTCGGGGATTCTACTTTACGGTACAGTGCCTTGTTCACTTGTGTATGTTATGGGGAGTTTTGTTTACGGTACACAGTCTCGTTCACGCGTTGTTGATGCTTGGGGTCTTGTTTACCCGGCACTTTCTCGTTGATGCTTGGGATTCTACTTTACGGTACACTGGCTCGTTCATTTTACTGTCTCGTTCATCTCGTTCACTCGCTGATGTTTGGGGAGTCTTGTTTCCGTCTCATTACTTGTTGACGGGGAGTATGTACGGTACACTGTCTCGTTCCCTATTGATGCTCGAGTCTTGTTTACCGTACACTGTCTCATTCGTAGATATTTTAAGTTGATGATACTAACTGGTTATTAGGCCCCCCTGGCACAGGCAAGACGCTGCTGGCAAAGGCCATCGCGACCGAGTGCAATATGAACTTTATCAGCGTCAAAGGGCCAGAACTGCTCGACATGTACATTGGCGAGAGCGAAAAGAACGTTCGCCACGTGTTCCAAATGGTGCGTTTGTATGGGGACTCGAAACGTTTTAAACAATCGAACGTCTCGTACGACTGTAGGCGCGCAACGCCCGGCCTTGCATCTTGTTCTTTGACGAGTTGGACTCGCTGGCCCCCATGCGCGGCCGCGGCACCGACTCTGGTACCCCCGTCCGTCTCTATTTTAATATATAAAAAAGTTGTGATTTTAATATTATTTTTTATATATGATATTTGATATTACGCTGTAAAGTTAAAATCGCTCAGCGGGCACTTAATGGCCTCAGTTAATATTATTTTTTATAGGAGGGGTCATGGATCGCGTGGTATCGCAATTGCTGACGGAAATCGACTCGAATTTGTCCCAAGTGTTTGTCGTGGGTGCCACGAATCGACCAGATTTGATCGAAACGGCGCTGTTGCGGCCTGGTCGGTAGGTTACATGTTTGCCTCGATATATCATATGGCAACAATATATGTTGATACTCTATTTTTCACACATTAATATATATATATATATATATTTGTAGCTTTGACCGACTGTTGTATTTGGGTATTTGCAACGACAAACCCACACAACTCAAGGTCGTGCAAGCGCTGACCCGCAAATTTCAGTTGGCGCCTGACGTCGACTTGAACGCTGTACGTACTACATGTGTGTCGTTGGGTTTTGATCCTGGACGAGAAATATATATATATATATATATCGCCTTATATAATATATTTATGATAGGTTGTGGCGTTGTGTCCGTTTCACTATACCGGCGCCGACTTTTACGCGCTGTGCTCGATGGCGTTATCACTCGCCATCAAAGATCGGGTGGCGGCCATCCAGTTGTACATTGGTACGACTTTTCTATTGTGCTTTCGAGTGAAATTTCATTGTGGTTTCACGTTGGAATTTAAATCGATTTGATTGGCTACGTCAGATGAGCTCAAAATTATTAGCCAATCAAAACCCATTTCTCAATTCAATTCAACCAATCAGATCGATTGTGGATCGGCGCGATTCGATTGCACCCCCTCCCCAAATTTGTATCAAATCGACAATATATGAATTTATTATTTTTGGGGATTTATACAAATAAGAGTTGGACTTGTGAAAAACGCTAATATTTATTGATCATTTTTGATCTAGACACGGCCAACCAGGATGACGTGTATTCTGCTCGGCCGCTGCATGTGGCGACGGTTCTGGACATGATGTCACCCGACGAACTGCAGGTTCAAGTGACCCACGGGCATTTCGCCTCGGCGCTGCCGCACGTGGTCCCGTCCGTGTCGGCGTCCGAGCTGGCGCATTACGACAAGCTGCGCGTACAGTTTAGTTCGTTGGCACCCACGCAATAATATCGGACATTTGGCTGAAATAAGATAGACTACCGGGCTGTATTCTGTAGTATAAACACGAATCGAATTCAAGGTACTATTAATAGTACAGGGTTGTATATACAGTGTGGGAGATGATCTCTCAACCTCAATAAGATCGAGGCAAAGTGTAGAAGGAGGGAATGAAATTCTATCACTAGAACGACATGCATCATGAAGTGACCAAGGTAATGATTGACCAAAGTCCGCTAGCTGCAATTGCAACTGTAGGACGCGGCCGAAGAGGCCATAAAGTGCCCGCTGAGCGATTTTAACTGTTAACAGAGTAATATCAGCAACACACCTGCGGGACTCAAAAAGTCTCTATGCAGCTCGAGTCGATGATGATTGTGATTGCACACACGTACTGTACTACTACCGGTAGATGTACAACGTTGAGGAATGTGCATACTGTATGTTGATGGTACATCCGCCAAGCCCAGTGTCATGTTTTGTGTTTTGCATTTTTGTCTTTTCTGGAGGCTGCGGGAAATGACCAATATAGCCATCGTTGGCGACATAAGCGAGGATAAACGTATGTCTAGACAAAGGAGACGAGTTTTAATGCAAGTCGACTTTGTATTGGATTCCGCTGTTCTAAATGTGTACGTATGGCCGCCAGTTCCGATGGTTTTTGAAAAAGTATCCACCACTATATTCCACGAGAACACCGTTACGTATTTTTAATATAAAATAAGTATGTCATAATTTAAAAGGATAACATCAAAACATAGCATCAAGTTAACATACCCGTAAGTTAACATCAATGTTTGTCATAAATTATGACAATGTTAGCTATCGAGAAAGTACTTGACTATGTGTCGTTGAATTGCTCAGCAACGGCTTGTCTGGGCGGGGATACATTTAATATGAAAACTGAAGAGATGGCTGCGGGCTATATAACGAGACGTGATGTGTGGTGATTGCACTTATTTAGCATGCGTGAAGTGACCTCAAACATGCCAAAAAACTGAAATATAGCCTACTTTGGGTGTGATTATATCCCGCAATAAGCATCGTCACACCGCCCATGCCTCTTTATTACGTAGTATCAATGCTGCTGTACATGCTACCATGTTCTTGTGTTGATCAGTGATCTATGAGCCACGAAGCAGCACATTAAAGACGCATTTTGGCGAAAACTTCAAATATAGCGTGAAACATGTCAAAAAACAAATATTGTCATCTTGAGCTATAATTTATAGCATACATTGATATGTTATGTTATAATTTTCGAACATTTAAATGTCATACTATTTTTAAAAGTTATGCAACCGTTATGTGTGGAGCCAAGCAACTCAGCGCAATCGATGCCAAACCTTCAAAATGGCATTAAAAGCAGTGCACGTTGCTTTCTCCCAGGCTGAACTCGATTTGATTCTAGCGTGTTGTATGGTGATGATGAATAATAATGTACTGCCATATCGTTTGAGGATCGTAAAGTTGATCATTTCCCGCAGCCTCCAGTGCTAACATACAACGGACGCGGCAAAGTTCAATCCCACACAATTTGGTTGGTTGTCTGGCGCTTGTTTGGCTTTGCTTTTGCTGCTCGAGTTGTTTGTCAGTTACAAACTATACTTACGCGAAACGGCGCTATAGACCACTGAGAACTGCTTAAACGAGGGTATAGATAGCTAACGTTACTATAGATAGCCGCAAGCCACGACCTTATGAAACGCGGCTGGCTATAGATAGCCGCAAAGACCTGTTTCGCAAAAAAACGATTCCCGCAGTATTTAAGGTGTCGGCAACGGATGCCGCGAGTGGAACCCTTTGTCAGTGCGTTCGCCGGACCCACGGCCAGGTCGTATCGGACTCCAGCCTCGCGGGGACGCAGTCCAATGCAGGAACCGTCATGGAGAAATACGCTGGTGGGGCTTGTGTACGTCGTGGGCTCTGTGGGGTTGAGTCTTCAATTCGTGTTCACGTTGGGGCGCCACACAACCAACGATTTTTACTGGGCACACTTCAACACGACGGGGATGCAATCGTATTTGGCCGATCTGTGCAACGTCCAGCTGCCGCTTCTGCAAGCGCCGACCGCGATCGAATTCAACCGCAGCATGGCCATTCCCAAAGATTACACTGGGCCCAACACCCTCGTCAGCGTGAGCCCTGCCAGGGCGCGGTCGTTTCTGCTTCAGACGATGCCATTGGACCAGATCGTTCCGAGTCTCCAAACGTCGACCGTCGCCGCCAACTTTAAGTATATGACGCCATATTGTTGGGTGGATTTCAACCACACGTTTGAGATGGCGCACACCGCCAAGCGACAACAGCGATGCCTGCTGCACGATCACGACAATGCCGCCGTGTACCTCGAGTCGATTTTACGCAACGCCAAGCCGCAAGACATTGTGAAATCGTCGTACTTTTCCGACTTGAACTCTACCATATTTGCCGCTTTGTACGAGTCCAACGCTGGCCGCGAGTGGATGACCTTTCTTCAAACCCACGAGGTGGCGCCAGTTGCTGTCGAAATCGCCACGTGGCGCGACGCTGGGCTCACAAAATGGATCGTGCAGGTCAACAATGCAAACGACCAAGGCTTATTGGAAACCATCACGGTCGTGAATGCTCTGGGCATTACGTCGACAATCACAATCGGCAGAGTGCCTATCCGTGCCCGGGGGGGCGCGGCGTGGACGACCGCGAATGCGTACTTTGGGATTTGGAACGATCTGGCTATTTGCAGCACGTACTTTGGCTGCAGCCTCGTACGCGGCGCGTCGAATCACTTTGAGGCCATGGGCCTAGATTGGGACGCCGACGTGGTGGCTGAGGAAGTTCCGTCGCCGACGACGCTACTCGTTCGCCGGTACATTGGACCGTTCGGGTCGTTGGACTTGCGTTTCGTGGCCGTACCACCTGTCCTCTTGAACCTCGTCGCAGAGTTTCAGCGACAGTATTACGATGAACTGCAACGCGATGCCACCGCCCGGGAAGCGTATCGCGCGTTTGTGCCTGTGAATGTCGACCCGATTCCACCAGCTTGGAACGGCCTGTCATTTTATGGCGGCAATCCACTGTGTGCAGGCCACGTCACCCGCGCGTACCCGCAGGAAACATTTGGGTTTTACGAAGCATGCGACAATTCGGTTCCGTACACGATTGTCCTGGGCAGCGACAGCGCCGTGTTTGCACTTCTAGCGATGGGGCCTCTTCCTCGTGTGAACGCGAAGGTGGAGATTTGTGGTATGTGCCGCACAAAGCAACTGGATTGCCACGACGCGCTTTCGATGGCGTCGACTGTGCAGGAGAACATTCCCGGGTTGTCGGGTTTCCCCCCGCAACAACCTGCGTTGTTGTCGGTTCTGGTGACTTTAAACCTGACAATGATCCAATTCGCGACTACCAACCACAACACCCACGACGACGATGTATTCTTGACTCAACCGATGGTCGAAGGGGGGGCGTTGTGGGATTACTTTGGGTGGGTGTCCCTGTATGACTGGGTTCAAGGGACCCGTGAAGTGTACATGTTCGAAGGGGACGAAGGCAATGTGACGCTCGTGTCGCCGTATTATGCCCGCTCGGAGATGTCGGCCAACCCCCTCGAAGTCCCCCAAAGCGCGTGTCTTTACGTGTGGTACCTTTCTGTGTACGTGACGTTTGTCCTGTCCAGTGTGGGGGCGTTGATGATAGTATTTGGGAGTTTGATTCGGTTTCAAACGGACCCGACGCAATGGTTTCACTTTAATCGGGTCGTCGGGTCCGTCTGGATCGGGCGTCCGTTGCTCTTGGTCCGCGGCATGGCCGCCGCGACCATCTTGTCGACCGCAAATGAGCAATTCATCATATCCCATGGGTTTTCCCAGTTTACATATAACGACCGAACGCTCGACGACGTGCTCTTGTTGGCCGGCGAGGCGCTGTGGATTACTTATGTGCTCGTGGACATTTGCTTGCCAGTCACCCACGGCGTGTCGTTCCTGTACGCGCCACTGAGCAGTGGGTTGGCGTGGTGTACCATCGCTGCGTTGGAATGGACGATTCCGTACAAGTCTGAAACAGTTCTGCAGCCCAACAATTGCACCGTTCAACCTACAGGACAAGAAGTGTACTGCACCAGTGGGTCTATTGCTATTGGCAGCTGGAACCGTGTCGTCTTGATATGTGTCGTGAGCGCTGCGTCCGTCGTCGTGGCGTACGTTGTGGTCAAAGGATGCAGCACCGTATCGATCGACTACCACGAGACCAAACCCTCGTCAAAACATGTGCATTGTATGGTGCCTGGCGCGTCGCACGGGCACTTGCTCAGGGCTACGCACGAGCATCGCATGGACAATGTAGCGTGCATCATGTCTGGCATGATTCCGCTCATGCACGACCTGTTTGATGTGAAACTGTGGGCAGTTATGCGCAAGAGCACGCGAACCCCCGTCGGGTTTACGTTTCCGACTCTGGGATTCAAGCGCCACAACCAGGGGGCACTCCCGGGACCTCCACCACCATCACACTTTGTGCCACGTCACCAACCCCACCGTCGGGATGCGATCATGGGCTTGATCTACATGGGCGCAACCGTCGCAGGAAGCTATGTGTACCTGGCCTTGACCGATTCCACCATGGCCAACGACATGTGGTGGACGACATTTAACAGCACAGGCACGCAGCTGTTCTTGTCGTCGTGGTTTACATTGCAATTGGCTTCCACCAACGCCCTCCTGCCGTCATCGACTAGGTTGGACGTTCCCAAGTATGCAAGTACCCAACGCTACAACTCGTCGACAGCGTCGATTGCAGTGCCTCAGTTGTACGCGACGGCCATCCTCGACGAAGTCAATACACTAGAAAACGTCGTCCGCGGGCTTCGAGCCATGGACAGTTGCTCATTGCCGTGGATCTTTGCGGCGCACTGCTACGTCGATTTCGGCCATACATGGGAAATGGCGCCGACAGCAGCCAAGCAGCAGCGCTGTCAAAATGAAACAGATAACGCAGCCGTGTACTTGGAACCATTGCTTCGAAATGCGCACTGGCCCGACTTATCCCGGTGCTGGGGCGATGCCATTGAAACGAGTATTTTCAAAGCACTACGAACGAGCGTGACGGGGCGCGAGTGGATTGCGCACACGGTGCAAACGATGGACGACGGCATCATTTTGGCCGCCGCCGCCGAGGTCAGGTATTGGCAATCCCATGGCATTTCGTCGTTTACGACCCAGTGGCAAAACTTCAAGATCTTGGGCGTGGTCGAATCGTATTCAGTGCGCAACGCGTTTGGGTTTTCGCACCCGTTTACGCTCAAGCAGTTGAATTCGTCGGTGCAGCTCCAAAGCCAAACCAGCTACAAGCTGTATTCGGGGCTCGCGAATACCTTCACGGCAGTGTGCACCAACGGGTCGAGCGTGGCGGGGCGTTCGCTCATTCGAAACGCCAACGACTTTGCCTTTCAAAATACAACGCCCGAAGCCCTTCTTGGGACTGCGTTTTTGCATGCACTGGTCGTCCCGATTGGACCAGCATTGGGTTCGATTCGAGCCATGATAGGGCCATTTGGCTCGATCGACGCAAGGCGAGTGGCATGTCCAAATTCCCTTCAGCTCTTGTATCGAACCTTGACGGAAGACGTCGCGCAGGGCATCGTGTCCAACGCCCCAAAGCTTGAAAACACCACGGCGCTGTTCAAGGGTCAGTACTACTCGCCGCTATCCAAGATGTGGAGCGCGCAACAACTCGTGGGCGGCAACATCATGTGCGAGTCTGACCCTCTCTCAACCAACTATGGGAACGACGTGAGCGAGTTCTTTACGATCCATGGGCGCTGTGACTCGACCCTCTTGGGCACGGTACGCCCCTCGGGCCCCATGCAAGTCATGTCAATCATCGCGTCCAACTTGAGCTCGACCACCGACCCTGCTCCCATTTGCGAACGAGAAAAACGCTATCGTGATGGCTGCCATCTTGCCTTGACGTCGCTCCTTCCCCTGGTCCAGTATTTTCCCGTGCATGACATCAAGGATTTAGTTCACGCTGTCGTGGAGGACGTCCGAGACAACTTGAGGATTGCCCTTGTCCAGTTTGTTCGACAGCAGGCCAACGTGAATGCGTTGGACCTGTCGATGTCCATGCTTTTTGCCCCCACCGAGCCAGAATTTGAGTTTTTCGCGTGGTTTTACCTGTTTGAATGGGCAGAACAAACCCGCGAGGTCGTGATGTTTGAAGGGGAACACGGGCGCTTGACCACCATGTCGGGCAGCGTCCCCCCCGTCGCTCAGACGGTGAATGGCATGGAGATACCAGTGTCCGTGGCGTTTTACACGCGTTTAGCGATCCAATACGTGACGTTTATGTTTCTCCTTGTGGGGTGCTGCGTCTTGTGCTACATCATCGCAGTGCGCGGTTACGTGGAAGGGCGGAACTTCGTCAAAGTGAACCGTGTCGCAGGAATGGTGTGGGTCGGCCGTCCGTTGATTTTGCTTCGGGGGATCACGGCGATTTGTCTCTTGTCGACTCCGAGTCTGTCGCTTGTTCAAACCCCCAACGGCGTCGCGTCGTACTTTGTATCGCCGCCGCATTTCTGGCTAACGACGTTGATGTCGTCGGGCGAAGCGTGTTGGCTAGTTTACATCCTCAACGACATGTGTTCCCCGTTCACGCTCAACCACACGGCGTACGCGTCCAAGAGCAGCAGCTTGGTGTGGTTTGTCTCGTTTGTGCTCAGTGTGGCATCGCCTGTGCAACACGAAGTGTCGGTGGCGAGGAAGTGCACTGTTGAATCCGTGGACTTTCAACTTGTCTGCGACGCAGGGACAGTATACTTTGGTAGTGTTTCACGTTGCCTCGAGTTGGTTGGCATTGCTTGTGTATCGTGCATGCTTTGCTATCGCATCCAGCGTCGAATTCACACCAATCAAGCTGAGGTCGAGTCTCGCAAACACACATCGCCCATGCTGCATGCTGTGGCGATCCACAACCTACACTTCGCAAATTGGCACTACAACGGACTCTCGTACATAGACAAGGCGACGGCGGCCATGACAGGAATCCTCAGCCTTCGAATCGGCGAGATGTTGTACCTGTTTGACATCAAGTCGTGGCGACTGCATTCGATCGACACGGCCGACACGCGCGACACCTCCATGGATCCGTTCCTGTTCCAAGCAGTCCCGTTGATGGAGTGAGATGCACCAACCCCTCCTTCCAATTAGTCGTGCATGTTCCAAGCCTTGTAATTCCATTTAACGTCTTGTCGTCTGTGTCGTCATCGCGGTGCGGTGCCGCCGACGTTCAATCCACTGCGCGCGCAAAACCAACATTTGAAATTGGATGACGTCAACACATTGCAACTTCAACCTGTTATCCGGAAAAGAAGCCGGATAACATATCCGAGGTGCTCTTGATGTTTGTATGCCATCCGGAAGATCTTTGTTGACGCAGCGGGTCCCGCAAAAATCAAGGGACTTCCATCATTCTCGCATTCACCACCGCCATGACCCAAGTGTTCATCGTCGCTGCCAAGCGCACCCCCTTCGGCGCCTTTGGCGGCAAGCTCAAGTCCATCTCTGCGACTGACCTTGCGACCCACGCCACGAAAGCAGCGTTGCAAGCCGCCAAATTGGACCCTGCTCTCGTGGACACTGTCATTGTTGGTAACGTCGCTCAAACGTCGTCGGACGCGGCCTACCTTGCCCGCCACGTTCTCTTGAAGAGCGGTATTCCGCTTGAAAAGCCTGCACTCACGATCAACCGCCTGTGTGGGTCGGGGTTCCAAAGTCTCATCAACGGGATCCACGAAATCAAACTCGGCGAAGCGTCCATCGCAGTCGCTAGCGGGACCGAAAACATGTCCCAAGCGCCGTTGGTGTCGTACGGCGACAAATCTCGATTCGGTGTCGGCCTTGGTGCTGGCCTCCAACTCCAAGATTCGCTGTGGTCGGCCTTGACGGACTCGTACGCGAAGTGCCCCATGGGGATCACCGCCGAGAACCTGGCGGCGCAAGTCGGTGTGTCACGCGAAGAATGCGACACCGTGGCGTTGCGCAGTCAAACATTGTGGGCGAAGGCTCATGCCGCCGGGGTGTTCGACGCCGAACTCGCGCCCATTGACGTCAAGGTGAAGGGGAAGTTTGAGAGCTTTGCCACCGACGAACACCCGCGCGAAACGACGCTGGAAAAGCTTGGCAAGTTGAAGACTGTGTTCAAGGACGGCGGAGTCGTCACGGCGGGCAACGCGTCCGGTATCGCGGATGGTGCCGGCGCGATCATTTTGGCGTCGGAGGCGGCGTTGAAACACGCGGCCCCGCTGGCCCGCGTCGTCTCGTACAGCGTCGTGGGGGTCGACCCGTCCATCATGGGCATTGGTCCCGTGCCTGCGATCCAACAAGCGTTGAAGCGCGCGAACTTGACGCTCGACGACATGGACTTGATCGAAATCAACGAAGCGTTTGGCGCGCAGTACCTCAGCTGTCTCAAGGAACTGGGTGCGAACCCCGAGATCTCAAACGTGAATGGCGGTGCGATCGCCCTGGGCCATCCGTTGGGGGCGTCGGGCAGTCGCATCACGGCCCACTTGACCCACGCGCTCATTCGCACCAAGAAGCGCTATGCCGTCGGCGCTGCTTGCATTGGCGGCGGGCAAGGCATTGCCATCATCTTGGAAAACGCGACGCTATGATGTACTAATACACATTCCAGTACACTAGTTGAAGCTAACGTTAGCTGCCTTTGGAAATGCATGGGGGACAGTGCCGCGACGGACGGACTTTGTCGACAACGACCAAGGTACAGATTTTGATCGACTTGAACATCTGTATCTACCGGTATAGTTGGGGTGGCACAGGCGTGTTTCCGTCATCTCCTTTCTGGATGTCATACCACATGAACTCCGATGAAAACTATTAATAACTGTAAACTTACTGTGAAGGTATTATTTTTGTCGATTTGGTACAAATTTGGGGAGGGGGTGCAATCGAATCGCGCCGACCAAACCGATCCACAATCGATCTGATTGGTTGAATTTCACTTACAAGGTTTTGATTGGCTAATAATTTTGAGCTCATCTGAGGTAGCCAATCAAATCGATTTAAATTCCAACGAGAAACCACAACACGAAATTAAGCACAATAATACAGCTCTTTTTCGTAGATTTATTGTACTTGATCAACAGACATTCGACCGACCAATCAAAACCCAGAATACTATTCAAGTGGCCAATCAAACTCCTGCATTCTTCGAGTGACTTCAAATAGTGTGAATGGCTCAAAATTGACTGAAAAGCACAATATTAATACTATTAATATAGCGAACAACGACTACGTACTACTCGCCAAAGCAGCCCAAAGGCAAATGCAAACGTCATACATTGATACAGCTGAGGGCGTACGAAGGCTGGCCACGCAACCTTCACAATGACACGAAGGAGAGCACCAAGACATATGTATGTTTATAGGAGGAGGGTTCTGGTTTATCGTCGATAAGACGGAGCGAAGTCTCGCGGCCTCGACCTGCTGCGAGATGGCGGACGACGACGCCGTTCTCGACTGCGAGACCGGTCCCGTGACCGGGAGCGATCGCGTGGCGCCAATCGTTCGCGGCTTCGAGGTCGTTCGTATCGATCGCTTCCACCGGACGGACCGTACGCTGACGGACGCGACGAAGGCGGCGGTGGCGGCGGGTCGCGTCCGCGAGACCGACTTCGTCCTCGACCGCGGTCATCCGAGCGATGTATCGCAATGGAACGAATCGATTCCCTAGCCAACATGCATCAGTGATATGTGGGATATCTCGACGGGATATGACGACGTACCGGCCAGAGTACTTGACGTTAACGTCGGCGCCGCCGAGCCGCGTGTCGCCAATGCCACCCCCGAGCTTGCGGGGTTTCCAATCCCGGACCGTGCGACCACGCTCCACATCCACGACGACGCGGCGACCGTCGATCTTCTTGCCGTCGGCATTCTTGTACGCGGCCTTCATCGCGCCTTCGTCCTTGTACTCGACGAACGCATACCCCCGGCACTTGCCGTCTTCGTCCTCCACGAGGCGAAGGTTCACAATGTCTCCATAACGTTCCAGTTCCCGACGCAGTTGCTTTTCAGTCGTTTCATAGCTAATGCGACCCACAAACAATGTCTTGTACGCATCTTCTGTCTTTTGTTTTGAGCTTGGCGCTTGAGGGTCCCCTACAACATGGATAAGCATGAGCCGCCATCGCACTAAAGTCATGTGGACAGCACGCACAGGCCGCCAAGTCGTCGGCAAGCTTTTTCTGGTTGATCGACAGCTTTTCCTCACGCAAGCGATCTTGACGTTGCCGCGGGGTTTCCGACACATGCCGAGCAGGTGGCGTCGTGACTTCAAACTAACATGGACAATGAGAACACAGAACGACATGGCGTGGAGTGATGCATACCTCGGGTAGAGCATCACCAATGCCCGTGTACGGCGGCATCTTCCGCTTCACCGGCGGCGCAATGTACTCAATCGGTGGACGCGGCTCAAAAAGGACTTTCATGTGCATAGGCAGATGCGTGATGGCAGGCCCCATGCCGCTGGAAGACATTTGCCCCTTTGGGGTTGCCTTGCGTACGCGGGCCCCGGAACCACCGCCGCCGCCGCCTCCAGCTCCACCACCGTCCATTGTCACAGCACCAAATCCAACACTAAACCTTTTAGAACCCATCATGTGAAAAGTATTAAACGATAGAGGTCACAACATAATCGGCCATTATCTTGATCGTTCTATACCGACCTGTTCAATTCCAAATATGGCGAGTCCACAGGATATTAACAGTATATATATATTCGATAGTTCTGTACCTATTAGGATTTTCTTGATGGTTTCATATATATATATATATATATATTTCTATATTTCTATTGGAAAACATGGCTCAAGAAGGCGCGGACTTCTTCGTATGTGTAGAACAGCACGGCATTGGCGGGAATCGCGCGGAGTACCGTGGGGGTAAACCCCCGGTAAAAGCCGCCGACTCCATGGAGCGCGTACACTTCCTTGACGACGTCCATGCTTCGTCGATGGGTCGGATGTGTCTGGACGAGGGACTTGACCGTGTCCGCGGGGTAGAACGCTCCGTTGTATGCGATGCCGCTCAGCGCACCGGCTGCGATGACGTCCCAGTCCGACTTTTTGTCGGCCTTGTCGCCGCGGAGGTAGTCCAGACTCACATGGTATGTGGCAAACCACGACGCTGTCCCTGGGATTTCTCGCCACATAGTCGGCACAATGCCTTTGACTAGAAAGAAGTCACAAGTTGAGAAACGAGGAATTGGGCATCGCGACGATGCATGGACGTACGAAACCCGCGAAGGCCGTCGCGTTGAAACGCCTGCGCGATGCAGTCGCCCGTGTTCTTGTACCGAGCTTTGGTCGTGACTTGCATTCTGCATTTGATCAACTCGATCGGCGTCAAGATGAACGAGATGAAGCAGCCGGACACGCCGCCGGCTGACGCGATTTCCCATGTCGTCAACGGCTCTGTCCGACGTCCGAACAGAAGCGACTTGACTTGGCCGAACGTGGCAAAGAGACAGGCCATTTCCACCATCGTGCCCACGAGCGGCATGGGCAAGCCGCGGTACAACACGGCCGGCCCTTCTCGCACCACGAGGGACTGGATGTGGTGGAACGCGTCCAAGCTACTGCCGCCGCGGCCTCCACGTGGTGCTTGCGTTTGAAGTTGGACCTAACTCCACGAGTCAACAAGGTGAGGACGTTCAGTGGGCTTACTTTGACGGTATCCAAAGGGAACTCAACGAACTTGGCACAAAAGCCACCAAGGGACCCGGCGGCGAATTCGACGGCGGGGTCGCGCCACCATGCCTTGGTTGTCGAGGCTGTGTCATAGAGCATGCCGTTAGCACATCTCGTTCAGAATTCCATCAGACCGTACGACGCACCTTGTTCCAGCATGATGATCAAGTCTCGAGAGCGTGGCGCCTACGCTACATGCACCAACGATGGAATGATCCATCGTCATTGCAAGTGGTAGATCATCCGGATAATTTGTCAAACAAAGTCAAAATTTTCTGCAAAATATTTGGCGAAAACTCACAATATTCGAAACGATGTCGATCATATTCTTGAATTATAATGACCTCCAATCGTGTTATAATTGCACTGTGTACGTCGCATGGAGGAACGAATCGACCAGTTCTGGGAGGCGGCCAAGGCCATTGCGACAGCGGAAGGCCCAAAGGCCAAATGGAGGCAGGAAGTATCAAAGCTCCGTCGCGTGCTCCATCGCAACCAGAACTTGCGCCTGGCAGAACTTCCACAGCAACGACTCGTGGACACCATCCGCTTGTACGCAACGCACTTTGCCGCCGAAGACGACACGTTGTTGCTGGTGAAAGATGCCCTTGCGATGCCATTTGGAGTGCTTGGCACGAAGCAGAAGAAAACATTGCTCAAGATGCACGAGCAACTCCTGGGAAATGCCGACCGCAATGACGACGACGCTGCACCGACGCCGCAAGCTGTCTGGTACACTTGTGTCAGCATGGATGGTGACGGGTACCTCAGTCTACTTCACGACGACACAGGCGAGATGCTGGAAAGTGTTCAAGTTGCGAAAAAGTCTTCGGAATGGAAAACCATCAAGAAACACATTGACGGGGGAAATGTTCGTGTGAGTGTATTGGCCGATGCTGTCGACCAGGTTCTGGTAGTTGACGACGAAGAGTAAAATAGACAAGCTTATTACTCGTCCATGTTTGATGTTAGTAGTACAGTGCGATGGGCAGCATAGTTTAGACGGTCACGTGAACAGCTTGAGTATGCATGTGTCCGAAAGGTCAAATTGCACCCGCGAGTGATTTCGCGCAATGTGCAATGTCACTTACGGGTACATCCGAGCTCAGCAGACTGAATTGCGTCTCGTATATTTACATGAATGTTGTTCACATTGTGTAGTACTACTGGTATAAACCACGGCATTCCACATAACGTTTAACGGCACACGTGTCAAATGTCATCTACGCGTCTTGGTTTAATGGCACGTGTTTCAAGTGTCATCAATGTCCCTCGAACTCGCTACCGCCCTTCGTCGTTACTTCACTTTGCACCATCAATGGTGACTGGTACATTCCTCTCCTACACATAAATCAAAGCATGGCCATGTCAGATTGGATAGAAACTGGACATCGACAGTCGAGCCACCTGTCGATTCTACGATCGCCCCGAGTCTCCGAGCTTGAACGTCATTGTTGCATCTTCGCAGTACTCCCCTCCCCTTCCCTTCACGACTCGACTCGACTACAGTACTCGGCTGTCTTTGATCATGCAATTCACCACTCTCGTTGCTATCCTGTCCATGGTGTTGCTGGCTGTGACCGCCCACCAAGACAGCCAAAGCCATGGCGCCGTAGGGTTTCCCGTGGGGCCACCAGGCACAGACTATTTTGTCAAAGCCAATGCCAACGCCGTGGACAAGGCGAACAACGAGCAAGCGGCCAGCAACCACTTTGCAAACCACGTCGACAGCAGCGCAGGCAACCAAGGCTTGCGAGAAAGCGTGGTGTTCACGAAGGACCGCGCCAATGCTGTCGCCAACGACCGCGGGTTCAACGACGCCATTGTGAAGAACGACGTCGTTCGAAAATACGAAAATACGACGCCAACCAAGTGGCCAAAGGCGCTGTCTTCTTCGCCCGTCGGCAGCTCGGCGACGACGACTTGGAATGCGGCGGGGGGTGCGGCGGTGGATGTGGAGGCTGCGGGGGGTACGTGGACGCTCCGATCCCTCCGTCCGGTTTCAACAACGCCAAGCAGTCGGCGGATTCGCTGAACAAAGCCGACTCGCTCAACGCCGCCAACCAAGGCCGAGCCAGCGATGCCCACAAGCGCGCCGACTCCAAGCGCGTGGAGAAGCACAACGTGGACTTGGAAGGGTTTGCCGAAGCCAACGCCAAGTCCAAGTCGGGGGCTCAAGCGTTGTCCAAGGGAAACTTCTTTAGCAAGCGCCAAGTGGACCAAGCGCGGGGAGTGACACAGAACAACGGATTGTTCTTCCGACGAGTGTTGCGTGGCAGTGACTCGTAAGCCGTAGTTGCCCTTGTTAACTCAGTGAATTGAGTATTGCCTGGCCTCACCTTGGGTTTTGTTTTTGGTCGGAGTACACATTTTTCGCTACAGATTGCACGCAATCTTGAATGTCGCTTGTGTGGTGTTCTAACTCGGGCGAGTGAAGTCCACCTCCTTTGCATCGACTGGTTCGTGGGAATGTAGTGTAGCAGTTTAGTGGTCGCCAATATATTCGAAGTACAATGAATGGCACGCGGTTCAAATGTCATGGCGTTGTCATTCAGTAATATTCAATGGCACACATGTCAAATGCCATCCATGCCTCCTGGGTTTGCTCAGCACAGGTCCCAGGTTCGGACCTACCGCACTTGTTCGCCTACTTCACTTTGCACCATCAATGGTCGCTTCAGTTGACTGGTACGTATCTACCTCTCGTAGAGACAATGTACTACCTCTCGTAGGCACAATGTACTACCTCTCGTAGACACACAAGTGAAAGCATGACCATGTCAGATTGGATAGAAACTGGACATCGACAGTCGAGCCAACTGTCGATTCTACGATCGCCCCGAGTTTCCTCCGAGCTTGAACGTCATTGTTGCATCTTCGCAGTACTCCCCTCCCCTTCACGACTCGACTACAGTACTCGGCTGTCTTTGATCATGCAATTCACCACTCTCGTTGCTATCCTGTCCATGGTGTTGCTGGCTGTGACCGCCCACCAAGACAGCCAAAGCCATGGCGCCGTAGGGTTTCCCGTGGGGCCACCAGGCACAGACTATTTTGTCAAAGCCAATGCCAACGCCGTGGACAAGGCGAACAACGAGCAAGCGGCCAGCAACCACTTTGCAAACCACGTCGACAGCAGCGCAGGCAACCAAGGCTTGCGAGAAAGCGTGGTGTTCACGAAGGACCGCGCCAATGCTGTCGCCAACGACCGCGGGTTCAACGACGCCATTGTGAAGAACGACGTCGTTCGAAAATACGACGCCAACCAAGTGGCCAAAGGCGCTGTCTTCTTCGCCCGTCGGCAGCTCGGCGACGACGACTTGGAATGCGGCGGGGGGTGCGGCGGTGGATGTGGAGGCTGCGGGGGGTACGTGGACGCTCCGATCCCTCCGTCCGGTTTCAACAACGCCAAGCAGTCGGCGGATTCGCTGAACAAAGCCGACTCGCTCAACGCCGCCAACCAAGGCCGAGCCAGCGATGCCCACAAGCGCGCCGACTCCAAGCGCGTGGAGAAGCACAACGTGGACTTGGAAGGGTTTGCCGAAGCCAACGCCAAGTCCAAGTCGGGGGCTCAAGCGTTGTCCAAGGGAAACTTCTTTAGCAAGCGCCAAGTGGACCAAGCGCGGGGAGTGACACAGAACAACGGATTGTTCTTCCGACGAGTGTTGCGTGGCAGTGACTCGTAAGCCGTAGTTGCCCTTGTTAACTCAGTGAATTGAGTATTGCCTGGCCTCACCTGGTGGGTTGTATCCTAAAGGTCTATATGAAGCCGCTACAGATTGCACGCAATCTATGATTTGAGCTACAGGAACGTTATCGCATTCCCTGGCAACGACTGTCCCTATTTGAAGTATCGACTAGTGGCGTTCGTGGATAAATTGAGTTGTATTATGTGCGTGGCAGCTTAGTTTTCTTTTTCCTCTTCGGAGAAAATGCTTACAAGGAGGGCCATGTCTTGACGATCCTGTTCCAACTGCTCCGGGGTCGGACCAGCCTTGGGCACAATGCCAAAGAAGTCCCCCACGTTCTTTCGGAAACGAGGCACCACGACGCTCATCTTGGAATGGAAATCACTATAGCTTGACACTCCTGAGGCCGCCGCTATGCCAAGCACAATCACCCCCGTGCCGGCAGTAGCCAAGACGGTGCCACCGATGAGCGCGCTTCGTGCAGCAGCAGCCGCTGACATCTTGGACGACTTGACGCCGATCGCTCGTTCCCACCACGTCACACCCGTTGGCAACTTCTTGCGAGCAACTGGTTTCGCAACCACGATCTTCTTCGAACCCTTGCGAGTCCGTTCTCGCTCCAATTCATGCAACTCGCGGGCTTTCCTGCGATGCAAGCCCAAAACAAACCCACCGCTAATGACTCCAGTGGCCGCCAGCAGGCCAATGATCATAAGTGCTTCTTGTTCCACCCATGCTCGAAACGCACTTGGTGTCGGATCAAGGGATGGCGTCGTCGGGATCGCCGCAGCCGCATCGTCGTCCACTGCCATGTCGTGGATGGTCTGCAGACTTTTTATTGGACGAAGGACGCAAAGAAACTCCAAAATTCAATGTGTTGCGTGTTATCCAAACATAGAGGTTAGATTTGCAAAACGACGGTTTCATTCCGCCTTTTCCTTGGGTTGGTCCATTTCGCTGGCGAGAGCGTCGATGGACTGGAATTGCCGCGTCCACTTCGAGTTGTACAGGAACGGACGCAAGTCAAAGCTACAAGAAGTGCACGACGACCATCATCACCCAAGCCTCATGCAGACGACACCACAAGGGTGCACATGACGTACCGGTTGTCGTCGGGGGAGTAGTTCTCGGCGTGGTACGATGGCGTCAACGTCGTCATTTTGTGGCGGTTGATGCCGTAGTAAAAGAAGAATCGCTTCACTTTCGCCGCGATCTCAACCGGGGACAAGTGCGACCAGATGCCCCCGAGTTTGCGAAACATCCACAACGGTCCGCACCGGTCAATCTTGCGAAGGCGGCCAAACCAGCTCAATTCGTCGTACCTATACATACATCCATCCAAATCAGCCTACTGCGAACGCTTCTACATTCGTCGACATACGTCATGCCCATGTCTTCTTCATCCACTTGCGTGTGCTCGCCGTCCCCCGACGTCGGACGAAGCTCGGCGGTCGGAGGCGCCGCCACAATCTCGGCCAGCGTCGGGTACGCGTATTCCGCCGCGGCGTACACAAGCAAGCGCTTCAGGTCCGTCTTGGACACGGCGCCAATCGGGTTCAAGTCGGCGCTGCTGCAGTCGTACTTGGTCATGTACCCGCGCAGCGCTTCGTCGACGTTGGCCGACCCCAACACGAGCAGAAAGCCAGACCGAGACCGCACCCACGGCAACAACTGCGCCAACAGGTACGCCATCACCATGCGGAGCCGCGCCTGGATGTTTTGCAGCGCCAGGTCCTCGGACGGCGTGCCTCCGTGGACGCCAAACTTGGGCGTCATGCCCACAAGCAGCGAAAACGTCGACACGACCGCCGACACCATCGTGTCGATCACCATGTTCAGGTGGTAGCTCCCGATTTCCGCGGCAAGGCGCGTGGCGCGGGCCTTCGTCGCCGTCGAGCTGTTCTCCGTGCCCATGTATGTTGTATGCAGCACCGAATTGGCCAGTTCCGACGCCGATAACGCTACATACGGAGTGCCTAAGCCATACACCCCCAAAAAAAACCCAGTTAGCATGGCAGGGGTACGGAAGCGGAGTGTGTGAAACTACTAGATAATACCTTCCACGTCCAACAGGTACTGAATGTCATGCTGGACTTGGGCATCACCAGCATTGGCGGCGGCGGTGGCGAGGTGGCACATGACCCCCACGATCGCAGCCACGGACGCGCTGTCGGCTCCCCCCGACAAGGGCAGGAAAAAGCTAAAAAATCACTCATTGGTCAGTATATTTATTGTTCAAGTCGATTCTGCTCCATCGAATATATACAAGAACCCCAAATACCAAATCAATATATCGACCAATCAAAAACGCACAACACAAATCCAGTGGCCAATCACATCCATTCTTGGACCAATATCAATATCAGTATATGACGGAATCGAAATTGTGGGCATAAGTCATCCGCAACACAAGGCGGCGGATGGACGGACGTACGTACCCCTTGGCCTTGCTCCGTCGGAGGTAGTCCCACAGCCAACAAGCTGGGCCAAATGCGATTTCTTCCTCGGGGGTGTGAAGTCTCGCGTCGATGCGCGGCGTCGTCTGCTGGTAAAACCCATCCTTGGGCTGGCTCATATGGAAATGCACTGGCACGCGGGAAAGGCTGCGGTGGTCCGGCGAGCTCGCTTGTTCGCTGCGGGAGCTCACCGCCCCACGGTACGACCGCACGTCATCCAGGTCCACCACCGCCGTGATCACTTCGACGTCCGTGACGGAAAACTGCGACCCTTGCGCGACAATGTGGCCGTTCACGACGATCAGCGCACATCCGTCGTAGTAGAGGCGTCCGCCGTCGCATCCTTGCTGGTTCGCATACAAGTACACGCCTCCCGCTACGCATGTACCATCGTAGATGTAACAAACCCTTCAACAAAGATGGGAGACATACCCTTGGCGGACGCGCCGCGAATCAAGTCGATGCGATGCTCCAACTTGCGCAGTTGGTGGTGGGATCCTGATCCGTTGCCGATGATCTCGACGCCTCCTAACGCGAGGGAAATGTGTGGCGAGTCGGGTGTAAACAGCTCTTCGCACGTCTCCGACGAAATGACCTACAACAGACTAGTTCGTACGTCATGAGGAGGGAGAACGATCGTACAGAGTCTCTGGTGGCGATGGCGCCGATTCCAAACGGCACTTCGATTTGACCAGTCAAATGCTGGATCATGGGAGGCAGCATGTGCGCTTGCAGGTTCAAAGTCGGGTCGGCGTGGATCTTCCATGTCGTAAACCTACAAGGAGATATGTAAGAGGAGGGCGGGCGGCTGGCTACTGTATGCGACCTACCAGCGCTTTTCGCGGTAATTGCCGTCGTCCGCCAAGTACAGCTTGGGTCGAATGAACACAATCTTGCGGTCCAAGCAAAACACGCGGCAGTTGTACCGCACCCCAAGGTGCATGACCGGCATGCCAATGTCGCAAAGGATGTTGTCCGTCACGTCGCTCTGCAGCAGCGTTACCAAGCTTTCCCAGCAATGGTAGAACGTGTCCGCCTCGAGGAAGTGGTCTTCGCACCCGTAGCCACAGATTTCCAACTCGGGACCGAGGCGGTACGTGGCGCCGCGCTCCTTCGCGATGCGGATGGACTGCACAATGCGAGCCAAGTTGCCATCAAAGTCCAAAGCCCATTGATTCAAGTTGCATGTCGCTACGGTCACCAGCGGCTCTCGCATGCTCATGTTGACTTCGACAACAATAATTCTGGTCTGTCCCAACTACGAGGGAAAGTTATTGGCCTGCCTGTCTGGGACGGTTATCGAAATTAGGAATCCAAGCAACCGGATTCCTATTTGGACAGATAATTCGGCAATATCGTGAACATTGGAGGTAAAACCTCCTGAATAGACTACCTAAATTAGGAACATCGGTATCCTGATTTACAGTTGGCCCGTCGAAACCTCACCGCTTCAACTGTCCAACGAGAGGTGGGTGATATTTGCCTAATTTAGTAGCATATCATGGCAATAGTACCTAAACTAATTTTGTACGCGTCCAGCCAATCGGATCGCCCAAGGATTTTCTCGAAATTCGAAATCGCGATCAACGGACCTCGACCTCATTTGCGCATTGACGACGAACGACACGGACCGACGACACATGAGTGCGAACTACTTGATGGATGACATCGAAGAATTGAAGACGATTGTCGCTTCTGTGACGTCCGAGCGGCTGCAGAAAGACCTGCGGCATCTTCTCGCCACAAAGGAAGCGGCATTGGTCCAAGCACAGCAAACGCAACCACGACCCGTGGCGGCCCCCAAGCCAGCAGTTGTCACACCGGCAGCGTCGGCGCCAGTCTCCAACGACAACATAGTGTACACGGAGATCTCGACGTTTGCATGGGATGATGAAGGGTACGGCAAGCCGAAAGTCACGGTGTACATCACGTCGGGGATTGACGGTGTGGGGTCACTCCCAAGCGACCACATCACGTGTGACTTTACGACCCGGAGCTTCGACTTGAAGATCAAGGACCTCAACGGCAAGAACTATCGATTGGTGCGCTACAATTTGGACAAGGACATCGTCCCCAACAAGTCCAAGTTCGTCGCCAAGAAGAATCGCGTGACGATCACATTGGTCAAGGCCGACGACAAGAACACATGGATGAACTTGACCGCCAAATCCGCGGCCCCCACCGCCAAACCCAATTCCGCCGATCCATCTGCCGGGATTATGGACATGATGAAGGTATGTACCATCGTTGTGTGCGCCTCTGTAGTTGTGGCCTCATGGTTTGTTTCTCCATTAGAACATGTACGACGAAGGCGACGACGAGATGAAGCGCACAATTGCCAAAGCATGGTCGGAAAGCCGCAACAAGAACCCTGGCGGGGCTGACGTCGGTGGACTTGGCGGCCTTTAACCGTCGTCGGCACTCCAACTAATCGAAACAATTTGTTCATTTCGTACGACAGACCCCTCGCTTGCTACTACTCGTCGTCCTCATCGCCACTCTTGGCGTACACTTCAGCAGACACTTCAGTGGCTTTGCTTGTCTTTTTGCTTTAAAAATCCAAAGCGCGACTTGGCCTTCTTGATTGGGTTGAGTTTCGCGCTCTTGTCGGGTTTGAGCTCGAGGGAAAACACCACTTGGCTCGGCTTCTTAGGGACGGCAGATGGCGGCACGTCCGCCGCGCCCGAGCTCATGCTGAGGCTCTTGAGGGGGTTGTTCATGTCGAACCCTGCCCACCGCGAAATATCAAGGCGTTCCTTGAGGAATATGCCAATATTGTTGAAGTTCCGCCCCACTTGGCTGAGCACGTCGAGCAAAATATCGCGGCGGACGCGCAGCACCAGCTCGGACAGCGTGCACGTCTTGTCCGTGTACACAAGCGAGTGCAGCTTGAGCTCAAAGCCGCGCATTTCCTCCAAGTGCTGGGGCATCGCGGGCGTGGCTTTGCCGCCTATACACTCGTCAGATACAACGACCAACAACAACCAGTCGCCTTGTAGTAGGATCGAGGTAGTGTGATACTTTTGTACGTTAGAAGCACCAAGATCGTGCCAAGGCGAATGTGCTTGAATGTGACGAGGTTATAGCTGCTTCTATTGTTGCTAGTGGTGGTGGTGGTGGTAGGTGGGGGGGGTCGGGGGGGATCCCCGTCGTCCCCTCGAAGGAGATTCGCCATGTCGTCGCTCGTGTTGGACACCCGCGGTGCCTTTTTACTACTGGTTTTGTACACGAGGAATTGACTGCGCACCATTTCTTCCTAACAACCATCGAAGGTAGGACTCTAGGAGTACTACTACTAGTAGTAGGAGTACTACAAGTACACTTGACGTACTTGTTTGTGGATGTGCGGCGACTGCGCAGTCGACATGAACGCGACGAGCTGCAACACGAGCTCGTACGTGATGCACACTTGGAGCGGCAAGACGTTGATTTCAAAGTGCTGGACCACGAGTTGGCCACCCACTGGCGCCGCCATCTCAGCATCCACACGAACAACACCCCCTAACCTTGTAACCTTAACTACTTATCGTCACATATATCATGTATGTAGTAGTACCTACCTGCGTCGACAAAATCGGCTTTGGCCTGCTGATTTCTGTCGACAGGAACGACCAGGTCGGGGAGGGGGGTCTGCGGCATCAAGTTGGCGGCGGACATCGTGTGCAATTGAATCGACAGCGTGCCGCTCTGGTCTTGAAAGTGCGCGACGGTGCCTTCGACTTGTTGGAGTTGTAGGCGGAGGAGGTCGAACGTCGGCCCTTTCACCAGCAGCGCCGCTTCGTCCAGCTCAAAGTGCAGGTCCACCGTCGGATGCACTTGCTTGTACTTGTAGTATTCTCGAATCGCAAACGCGACCTCGGCGTTCAATACGCGGAAGTCGTGGGCCAGCGCCGTCAGTCGCGCACTAGCGGCGGACGGTCTCGACGGCGGCGATTGAACCGACGACAGCCGACGCCGGGGAAGAGATCGAAGGGCCGCCGCGTCGACGTCCGGCACGGCGCTGGCCAACACCCCAAACCGACACGACTCGACGTACCGCAGCGTCGCGATGGTCCATTGCAGCGTCCGCCGCTGACGCCACAGCTGGGGTAGCATGGCCACGACGTCCGGGGTACTCGACAGGGGCCCGTCGTCGCCTTCAGTGTTCAGAGGAGGGTGGGTGGAGGGGGGAGTGCTGGCACCACTTTCGATGACTACGGAATTAGCAGCAGCCTTGGTGTGGCTCTCCAGCTACAACATACCAAGCAAGCACATATCTCAAAACTCTAGATTTCGGTACATACAGTATATATCTCGTGTTTGATCGATGAATGTATGTTTGTATGTCTGTCTACCTTGTCCTGAATCCGAGCCGACAAGAGCGTGCCCATGTCGAGCAGCGTTTGCTTGCTTTCAGCGTCCAAGATGGCGTCGATGTTGGCCACGTGGATGGTAACTTGGTGCACGTTGGGGACGACGTCGTGGGAGATGCCGCACTCGATGGCCGACGCATGGAGCACCTGCTTCCACAGCATCGTCGACGACTGCGAAATCACTGACCTCTCGACCTTGAGCCACGTGTGGTGCATATTCGATGTCATGTCCACCTCCAACGACGACGTGAACACAAATACACCGCACACACTCACGTCCACGTGCTCGGTGTGATGCTCCAAATCGACGGCGGGCTCGACACACCCAGATGGAATCGCTACCAATATTGAGCCCTACACCCCAGACGACACACTCTCTCAGCGACCGCATTCTTTCATCTAGGATGAGATAGACAGAGAGATATGTATATACCTTGTGGGCAGAGTCCTGGACAGCCAATTGAAAGTCCACAACGTTGATACGAAGCAGCGTTTGGATGGCAATCATGTCGGTGGTGATGGGCAAACGCTCGTCGTCAACGTCGTCACATATTTGTGAGTGGAGCAAGAAATCGTTGGTGGAGCTCACGCGCACCTTTGGCTGAACCGCGGGATGCAGCATGTGCTCCAAGTGACTGGTCAGGTCGCCACTCGCGTCATCACATGTGTCGGCCACTGCACACAAACTCGTTCAGTCCAACACTGCAAGTAAACACATCAATACCTGGGGTCGCCACGGCCGCCTCCACTTGATGAATCACACTGATGGGGATATCGGATGGCGGCATGTACTCTTGGACGAGCGCCCGCCACTCTAGCGCCATTTCCACCACCGCGTCGATCGTGTCGAGTGTCATGTGCACTCGCGGCTGGTGTACTAGCACGTAGCACAAGCAGCCCAGTTCCGGCGATGAATCATGTCCATCTCCCAACGGGGGCGAGGCCGTTGAAGGCGGCGGCGGCGGCAGTCGCGATGCCGACAATCGTCTCGGCGTCTGGAATTTTTCCTTGCTTGGAGTAGATGCAACAACCACAGCAGCAGTAGCACTTGATGCGGGACTTCGTTGTTTGAGCAGCAAATGCACGTCGTCTTGGATGGCAAAGTGCTCCAAGATGCTTTTGGACTCCGACGACGGCGGCGGCGATGCCACGTCACGAACCTGCGGCCCATCACCACCAGTCGATGCATCAACAAGGACAGCCGCAGCGTGAAAGCGCTCGACAATCGCATTGGCCTTGTCCTCCCACGGCGGCATCAACTTGGATGGCTCCATCACCGCGTACGACTGATGCAGTGTCACACATGCGTCGCCGCGGCTGCCGCTCTTGACCGTACACACCCGGATTTGAATCTCCTGGACGTTGGCTACAACATCATGGATGGCCCACGTGGCCTTTTTCGGGTTGGTAGCCACGACCATGTGATGCTGAAAACAGTCGGCGAGACTGCGAATGGCGCCACACGTCATGGCCAGCGACGCAAAGATGTCGTTGATGTGCACACGGACCCCCACCGGACTCTGGTCGCTGTGATACAGTGCAACGTCCACTCCGTGCTCAACTTGAAGAGACCGCAGCACCACGCGATGGATGTGGTGCTGCAGGTCACTCAAGCGGGGTACTAGCGGACGCCGGGGGTACCTGCGCTGTCTCGACGTCACCGTCGGGATCGCACACATCTCCATGTACGATTGCCCTAGCTCCAGCAGCCGCGCCATGGTGCTGCCGTACACGACCACGGACGTCGTGTCCTTGCGATCGTTGGTGCCGACGATGCACCGCACTCCCATAGACAGTCGAGACGGAGAATGGTGCATTATGTGTGGGTTGTGCACGTGGGCTTGGACTTGGTTGGGGTTTTCCAGGTATGTAAACTTCATCGGGTAGATGTAGTGCAACGACGAGACTGTATCATCGTCATCTTGATCTATCATCCACGTCCAATCCACGGCCAACGCTACGGCGGGTATGTCCACGAAGGTATCGACGGCGCCACCATGTGGCTCGAGTTTGCACTGCACTTTGTCCACGTGAATGTCCACAGTGCCCTTGTTTGTATAGGCCACTTGCACGTTGTGGAGCGTCAGTTGCACCCCCTCGGCCACGTTCTGACATGCCATCAACTGCACTGTTGTGTCTCGGCATGTGACAGAGTATTTCCCATGGACTAGGCGCCGTACAATATCCCAATATGCCCATGTATCTACTTCCAACGACGGCAGGATGTAGGCAAAGAGGCACTGCTGCGCATCCAAGGCAAGCCCAACCATGGACGAATTCAGCACGGGGCTATATGCGACTGTCGTGCCCGTCACACCGATGTTCAAGTCGAGAAAGCACTTGAGCGGAATGCGAGACGTGACCACTTGCAAGTGCGAAAAGGCTGCTATGTCCACTGGATGCGTGACGTGGAAGGCAGACGTGGAGGTAGGTTGGGCGACAACCACATCCCCTTGAAGCTCCAAGTTTGGGACTTTCACGATGGGTGGGCTCGCCTGGGAGCTGCCGCCGCCGCGGACGTGGACGTGGACGGATTCGGCATGTACATGCATTGACACGCCCACAAGCAGGTCAAAACATGGCCGGACGCAGCGGGGCAGCTGCAGCAGCGACAACGTGTCGTTGTCCAACTCTTTCATCTTTCGGATCAGTCGGACGGGATCGACAAGTGGAAGCACCCAGCCGTGTAGACGACACACGCTAACTCTTAACCGCGCCATGTTGTTGTTGGTCTTGTTGTGGGTATATGGCTGCTGCTGGTGTTTTCTCATTTCCTGGGCGCGAGTCACGTACGCCTTTGCAAACATCTCCAAGAGCTCAATGTGCTTGGATTCGAACCCAGCTGCTTCGTTTGTCATCGTCGTGTTGTCGTGTAGATGGGATGTCCAGTGGTCATGGAGCACGACCTGCCGCCGCCCTTCCTGCTCGGCCAGCGTGTCCATCCAAAGGGGTGCCATGTGTGCCAACCATGTTTCCATCGGGTCGTCCACCCATTCGACGTCGAGTTGGCGCATATCCAGCTCGATCTTGGGACGACTTGACAGACGAGGGAGCTTGATAAAGTACCGGAAGAACAGCGGGTGCTGCGGCCGCCAGAACTCGGACATGGTGTCGTGCCAAATCGTCGCGAGTGTCGCCGCTAGCGTTTGCATTTGGGTCGACAGGGTAACCAAGTCACTCCAACTCGCATACGGAATCTCCACGTGCAGATCGCATATGCACACACACAGCGTCTCGTCGTCCACTGATGATGCCCCATGTCCATCGTCGGACGCGGCGAGGACCTTCTGGCGTTGGCGGAGCATCGCTTCAAAGTCCCCAAACACATAATCCAGCCGACCCGCCACCGTCCGCCGCACCGACACATGTGCCATAGACACCAACTTTGGTTGGTGTCGCCACGTGACTTGAATCGATCCAAACGTCCACAAGTCGGGCACGTCGTCACCGCCAAACTCGTCGACGGTGACGGTGATCTCCAAGGCGGGGACGGATACCGACACGTTTCGGACAGCTACCCGATGCAGCTTGTCGCCGGACGCACTGATGGCATTTGACAAGTGTGCACGCATGGCTATGTAGGCGGCGGCGTCGTCCATGGCCGGATTCACGCCCACGCGGACCCCCCACACTTTGAATTTCGAGTGGGGGGGGGCTACATGCATCGTGTACCCGTGAAAGATCTGAAACAGCAACCGGTACACTGCCGTGGTCACGTCCTGAACGGCTTTTGCCACGCGCACTTGCGTGAGGACGTCCCACGTCACAGCCACGTCCTGCCCGTACAAATCCACGACGGACGTACCCCCCACAGGCGCTTCTTCCACGGCAAAGTGCCCCACGACCATATATGGCTTGCATTTTTTAGGCCCCTGCGTGCTCACGTGGATCTGGTCCATGTGCATGCGAAATCGGGATGACGTTGTCGCATCTGTTTCAATCATCAAGCTGTCGACGGACACTTGTTCTGTGGACGGCGGCGTGGATGGCAGCGCGACGGGGAAGGATGCGACGATGTGCTTGACGAGTCCGTGGAACTTCACACGCGGGTACACTGGTTCCCGCTTGAACATGTCGACCCCCGATCGTCTTGGACGGATGACGTTATCGTCCGCGGCGGGTTTAGGGGTGGCAAACACTTGAGAAAGCGGCGTCTGACATGTAAAGAGGACGAGGCGGGCGACGCCACCGAGGGCGTGCAGCAGCTGCGGCGTGTAGTGCACGTCGAGCCACTCGCCTTCCATTTCAACGTCGGCGGCGACGTCAGTTTTCCCGTGGAGGAAGGACGCAATCGGGTAGAACAACATGCGCATGTAGTCCATCGTCACGGATGGCGCGGGGGACGATTCCAAGCGAACGCCCACGCGGCTCAGACGCAGCTCGGCCCGAGACCGGACGCCGACCAAGTGGGGCGGCAACGCGCTCACGTAAACGTCGTCGACGAGGATCTCGAGCGGGGGACAGAGGTGCGATGGATCGTCCAGGTCCAACGCAGTGCGCGGGCAAAGAAGCACAGACACATTCGTGACTGTGCCGTGGAGTTGCACAGATGAAAGGATGGACACATGTGGTGCCGGCGGCAGTGCGATCTGGAGGTTGGTCGCCAGCGAAACCCATGGCTCCAGCACGTCACTGAGGACGACGTGTACGCGCTTGAGCTCGGCCCACACGTTCAACGCCAAGGAGGATACATGCGGACGAGTGACATCCACCGATCCAGTCATCGGACCGAGTTGGAGCAGTTGAAGTGGCGGCGACGCTTGGCGCGGCACCACTTGGGCTGACAAACGGTGGACATCCACGGCCACAGCTGCATGCTTGGGACTGCCGTTCTGGCTGACCAACACAATCTGGAGCAGCTCGACGGAGCATTGCGATAGAGAGGAGGGATGTTCAAGCGTAACCTTGGCAGAGTGCCACGAAAAGGACACGACCGACGGCAACAACGCGATCAAGTTGATCATGGCTTCATTGTTGTTATTGTTGGCGGCGGTGGTATGTGTCTGCGATACGGTAGGATGAGACACAGGTGCAGAAGGTATGGTGGCGTCGAGTGGTGGTTGAGGCGATAGTAGCTTGACGGAAACGTACAGCGAGTGTCCTGAGATCGACACGGACGACGGCAGCGGCAAGCGCGCGTCGGACGGGGATTTGGAGATGGGGATCGTCACTTGGAGCGCTACCTGTTGGACGTCCACGTTCATGTGGGCGGACGGAATGGATATTGTCATGGGTAGATGATGGCAGACGTTTAAAGATACAATAACGCGGTGCTTGTCTGGATCGAGCAACATCGTCGCATTCACACTCGCATTCTACCAAATCCATCGTGTGGTTGTGTGAGAGAAAGTGAGTGGAGGAGGGGCTAGGAAGACGAGGATCTGTCGATGGTAGTACCCACCGTCACAGAAAACATAGGCTGGTGATTGGTATCGCGGACAAGGATGGAAATGTTGGTCATGAAGATGTCGACTAGATGCACGAATCGACAGACGAACCCGAAGCGGTGGATCAATGGCAGGGCTTGCGACCAGATCGGATTAGTCGGGGATGCCAACGCGGCAATCGACGCTAGATCCAGTGGCATTGCAGAGGCGACACATGATGAGACATGCTGTTGTTTGGTGATTGTGATCTCAACGAATGGAAGCACGAGCGACGCCACATTTTCTTGGCTCGGCTCTTGGATGAACTTGAGCAACAACCCCCAAAGCTTGATGCGGATAGGATGGACGCGAATGGTTGCATTCGTCGTCGCATCGATGGGCACGTCAGTGAGAAACCCTAATGCGTCGAAGGTTGGACACGCAAAGGAAAGGGCAACTAGATGATGGACGACGTTGGACTCACGTGCATGGCATCTGCTGATCAACACGTTGAGGGCCACTTGAAGTGCCTAGATGGACGTGACGATGATGCAGAGCATGCGTAGGCTCGTGTGGTTACCAGAGAACTTGCAAACACGAAGCCGAAGAATGCCGCAGTCCAATACAGGACTTCGCGCAACGACATGGCACAACTTGAACACTCCTCTCTAAGATCTTCCGTATCCGGAATACTTCCGGATACCAGGTGCCTGTAAAAAAGGCAAAAAACGTCACAGTAGTATGGAAATAAGTTGTACTTCGAAGTACTAGTTAAAGAGAACTAGCACTATTCACGAGTACTACTCACGCCTGCGCTGTCCTTCGTGCCCAAGAATGCCAAGGCTCAAGCTACAGTACCGTGACAGTACTGTAATCCTGGCACGACTCGATTACGCTACAATGTGCGGCGTTCAGTCACCGCCGCAAACATCTGACTTGAAGGTTGTGTCGACTAGAAATTCGTTGTAAGAGGTCATTCGGTTTCAGAGTATTGTGCTGAGTACGGTTATGTAAGATTAGTATGGAATTTGGTGCATCAGGCAATGTTGTGTGGCCCACATACAGGTTAAACACGGGTGCGTTGTTGGCAAAGGACCTGTGAACAATTTGTGAGGAGAAGGTAGCGCTCCTTCATTGTCGATGGGTGATGTCTGCCCAAACGTGCAACTCCCATCGAGTGATACAAGTGGGATACATTAATTTATACAGTTATGGTCGGACTCAGATGAAACGATTGGGCTTTTCACTCTCGTATTTGATTGGTCAGTCGAAGTCTGAGCAGCGATTTCATTGGTCAAGAAATTCGGACGCTGAAGGTGCATTTTGAATATCCACCGAATGACGGCCGAGCCTCCAGGACCATCAGTGCCGTACGGGTTCCCGAGGTGGAGCTTCCTGTACACGATCATCTTCTGCTTCTCGTTCGTCGCATGTATATCCGCCTCGGTTACGCTGCGGCGGTCCACCAAAGCCATCACGTCCTGTGTATGCTACGCCATGTATTGGTACTTTGTCTGCAAGTCCATCTACTCGTTCTGCCGCATCTTCGTTCTTGCCAAGTCCGTGAGCGAGTACATCAACGGACATTCTTCGTGGCTGAGGCTAGACGAAGCCCGTGACGTGGGCGGGTTTCGACTCCTCGGGAATGAAACCTCCAACGACCCCCTCATCCAACTAGAGCAACCCCCGATGACTGTCAAAGTGGCGCTGTTCATTGGCGACGCCGCGCTTGTATCGAGTTGTCTGTGGATGCTGGTGCTCGTGCTGGAACTCCTGCGTCTTGTGGTGTGTACATGTCGTCCATGTGATCCAACCACAGTATGACTTGGTGTAGAAAACCACCATGGACCGAGGCGCGACCGCGGAAAAACGCATGTTGTACTTTTACTTGTACTTTAACTTTTGGGCCGTGGCCACATACTTCACGGTATAATATACATACTATATACATATGTGACACGGTGCGAATCCAACACGACACAGGCGCAGCTTATCGTATCCAGCAACCAGGGCGAGTCAGGCCGCACGATTCTCGAGAGCACGGGCGAAGCCTTCTATTCCGAACGCTTCGAAGCCGTGCTGATCACCGCCGCGTCCGTCCAGTCCCTCGTGCTCACCGCAGTATCGTTTGCGTACGGACGTCCAGGTGCCGCCATCTTTCATGTGTCCATGTGTAGGGTATTCTACCTCAACCGCACGGGGCTCAACTTGGAAAGTGTCGAGTGTCGAGTTGTGCAGTCTCCCTTGTATAAACGTCTGAAGCGCATTCTGTAACGCATATCATCACTCTTGTGTCATCACTTATGTATGACGTGGCACTCGGTAGGGTCGTGTACGTTGCCTGCACAGTGCCGTACTTGACGTTTAGCTGGGTCGTGGTCGCCAAGGCATACGGATACATGAACATTGTGCCGGACGAACTGACGATCTTGTCGACGGCGCTGTACGCGGTATCCGGATTCGCGTTGGCGTTTGTGTTGGTGGCCAACCAGCAGTGCATGCTGTCGTGGTGCATGGTGTCGGACGACGTGATCCAGCAAATCCAAGCGAATGAACCCCCGACGGACTTTCCCGTGTTTGTCAATACAGACATTGAGTCGTCCAGCGCCCTCTGGGGAGCTCTAGGTAGTGTCATGCACGACGCCCAAGACATCCACGACAACCTGCTTCGAACTCTGTTGGTACCCCATCACGGGTACGAGATCACAACCGCCGGAGATTCGTTTCAATTGGCATTTCACAACATTGCCGACGCTGTCGCATATTGCTTGGATGTTCAGGAGCAACTCCTTTTGCAGCCGTGGCCGCCTGCGTTTGTCGACTGCCAAATGCCCGGCAGTGCGACCATCACAATGCAGCTGTCGTTATTGCAGCGCCCAAAGACAGTGTTTCACGGCGTAAGGGTGCGCATGGGAATTCACGCGTCGAATCCGGCGGAAGGCCCGCTCGTGAGCCAGGTGCATCCGGTCACGAGTCGGATGGCGTACGTGGGGCTGTCGGAATTGATCGGGCGCGAAGTGAGCGCCATTGGGCGCGGCGGGCAGATCATCGTCACAGCTCCGATTGTACGGTGGCTACGGGCGAGCACGGCCAACAACGCAGCGTGGACCAAGACCCATCCCATCGTGCTGCAAGAATTGGGTATGTAATACAAACATAACGTGATTTTTGCTTCTGACGACTACTTGTGTGTAGGCGTGCATCGCGTGCCGGACCTTAAGATCGACCTCGGAATTGCGCAAGTGCTGCCTGTGAGCCTCAAAGGCCGGCTGGCGCTGATCCCGCCGCCCTCCAAGGTGCATACCATGTTAACCTACTGCCCGCGCCTGAGCAACAACTACGATCTGCTCATTTCGCCAATGGAAACCACCAGCCACAACTCGGACGTGTCGATGGCCGCGTGATTCCTTCTTCACAACCCGTATTTATTACTGTACTATTAATAGTATATACCGTACTACTAGTACGTACTTACTACTACTACTAGTACGTACTAGTAGTAGTAATAACATACTGGAACTGTACGGTATGATTGTCCTGGTTGGTGCAATTTGGACGTGACAGCTGGTTGGAGCGAGAATGGATATGACTGTGTGTCAAAACAATCAACCTTACAGTATTCAAGGTAATTTATTTATCTAATCCAATGTAAAGATGAACCTATTGATTGGGCCAAAGCATACGGATCGACGATTGGCTAAAAGTTCTCATTCGTGAAGGATGTGATTGGCTGAGACATGCTATTGCCACATGCATTCGAAAGTACGGATTCGAACGGGTACTTAACTAACCGGTACTAACTACTAGTATATCGTAGCAACAAGGGCAGCGTCAGCCTGATCAAGTTTGGGTTATAAAGGCACGGGCATGAGGCACGCCAGCAACACGTTAGTGTATACCTTGCAACTTCAAGAATTCTGCTAGAACAGTTGCCCTGACATCGTGATGAGTTTCGGCTTGGTCGGGGATCTTAGCCTAATTAGGTCGCAAAATGCCTAGTTTCGGCGTTGATTTCGGACATGTCGAAAACAGTTGCAAAACGCCCAGTAGCGTGTCACAGCAGCATCAGCAAATCCGGTCTCCCTCCATAGGTCGTAAGTCGCCGCCGACGAAGTCCTGATCATGACCGACCTCGAGCAGCACGTCGCGTATGGCTTCCCCAAGTACAGCGTACTCTACACGATCTTCATGCTGATCGCGCTCTTGGCGTCGACGACCGCCGCGTGGACACTCTACAAATACACCAAGCTCGTATCGTCGTGCGTGTGCTACGCTATGCTGAGCTTCTTCATGTGGAAACTCGTGTACACGTTCCTCCGCATTGTCACGTTAGCGAGCATGATCCACGAGTTCCTGCAGGAGTCGTCGACGTGGATGTCCCTAGACGTCAACCACGACGTGGGCGGGTTCCGGTTCATTGGCCACGAAGCCGACATCGCAGAAAAGAAATTGGACCCGCCGCCGTACTTTGTCATGATCCCGCTGTTCATCGGGGACACGGCGCTCTTCTCGGCCGGGTACTGGATGCTCGTGCTTGTGGTCGAGTTGCTACGGTTGGTGGTACGTCCTTTCTACCACCACCCCATCCACGATAGGTCATGTTGAAGCTAGAAAACCACCATGGATCGAGGCGCCGACGCCGAAAATAGCTTTCTTCGCGTGTACATGTCCCTCAACATAGTCATCGTCCTCACATACTTTGCGGTACGTACGTACATCATGCCGATCCCGTCGCCGTGCTCGATCGCTTCACGGGTTGTTGCAAGTAGAGCAGCTTTGCCACATCCTCCACCGACGGCTTTGAAGAAATCGAAGTTTCCGTCTTCTACCACACCCGCTTCCGCAGCACCCTCATCGCATCTTGCGTGGTCCACACCACCGTCATCGTCGCCGTCGCCGCCGCGTAAGTCTTATCGTGTCCTCTATCTCCCTCCCTTTTCGTTCAAACGATATATATATATATATCAAACGAAAACATATTTATTTTTCAAACGATATATATATATATCAAGCGAAATCATATTTATTTTTCAAACGATATATATATATATATATCAAACGAAAGCATATTTATTTTTCACCATAACGTGGTCATATATAGGGTCATTTACTTGAATTGCGCGGGTCTCAAACTCGAAAGCGTCGAGTGTCGGGTCGTCCAAAAGCCACTGTACATTCGACTGAAACGCATCTTGTACGTATATATATATATATATATATATATATTTCCGTGTTGTCAAATTGATATATATATATGATTTCCAGTTTGATCTACGTGCTCACGGCGCTGCCGTACGCGGCCATCGGGTGGGTGCTGGCACTCCATCCCGCGTCCGTGATTACGTTCCTTGCCGACATCCCCAATGAAATCCTCGCGCTCAGCAACATGCTCTTCTTTGCGGCGCCCATCGCGTTGGCGTTTGTGCTGGTGGCCAACCAGCAGTGCATGCTGTCGTGGTGCATGGTGTCGGACGACGTGATCCAGCAAATCCAAGCGAACGAAGCGCCGACGGACTTTCCCGTGTTTGTCAATACAGACATTGAGTCGTCCAGCGCCCTCTGGGGAGCCCTAGGTAGTGTCATGCACGACGCCCAAGACATCCACGACAACCTGCTTCGAACTCTGTTGGTACCCCATCACGGGTACGAGATCACAACCGCCGGCGACGCCTTCCAACTGGCGTTTCACAACATTGCCGACGCTGTCGCATATTGCTTGGACGTCCAGGAGCAACTGCTGCAGCAAGAGTGGCCGCCTGCGTTTGTCGACTGTCACATGCCTGGCAGTGCCACGATCATGGCGCAGCAGTCGTTATTGAAGCGGCAAAAGATGGTGTTTCACGGCGTAAGGGTGCGGATGGGAATTCACGCGTCGAATCCAGCAGAAGGCGACTTGGTCAACCATGTGCACCCTGTCACAGGCCGCATGATGTACGTGGGGCTGTCGGAATTGATTGGTCGGGAAGTGAGCGACATTGGACATGGCGGGCAGATCATCGTCACAGCTCCGATTGTACGGTGGCTGCGGGCGAACGTCCTGAACGCCACGCCGTGGGCCAAGGCCCATCCATTGGTGCTGCTAGAGTTGGGTACGTAGTACTACTAGTGTATGCTGCTCAGTCAGTTCTGGTGGTTATTTGTACTTAGTCATGTTGTGGTTGGCTTGAGTAGGGGTGTACCGCATTGAAGACTTGAAAATCGACTTGGGCATTGCACAAGTGGTGCCGTTGGACCTGAGAGCTCGCGCGGGAATGTTTCCGCCCCTGGAAAACCTCAATCGCATCCGCCGACCGAGCAACAACTACGAGCTGTTGATTTCACCCAAGGCGTCGATCTTATAGCAAAGATTGATTGGTTGGTCGTCTGTAGGGTGATATATTTAAAAAACGGCGCCAGATTTCGGTTCTATTCCTTGTATACAGATCGTAACTACTGGAGGCTGCGGGAAATGATCAACTTTACGATCCTCAAACGATATGGCAGTACATTATTATTCATCACCACCGTACAACACGCTAGAATCAAATCGAGTTCAGCCTGACGAAGAAAGCAACGTGCACTGCTTTTAATTGCCATTTTGAAGGATTGACATCGTCCTCAATCGATTGCGCTGAGCGGTTGCATAACTTTTAAAAATAGTATGACATTTAAATGTTCGAAAATTATAACATAACACGTAGGTAGCATCGGACATCGAACCGACACATTTCTGGATGGGGATTGGGTAACCGACATCAAGTCTCGTTTTGATTGGATGACCGATGTGAGAGGATTTCGATTGGGCGATCGTTCTGTCGTTTGTCAATATATCACGCACATAGCGTGATAACACGATATGATTGGTCAAATATCAAATAG